GCCAGTGGAAAATGGGGTTATTTTGATAGACACAGGAATTTGGCCTGCAATATGATACCTACGGACCTCTCAAAGGGTTGTTGAAAGGATTCTTAACGTACAGAGAGCAAGGCGCTCTCCGTACATGAGGCATTTAATTCAATGTAGCTCTTCTGACCGGGAATGACTGCGAAAAAAAATTAAAACAACACGTTGTAAATTTAATGCGTCCGAAGCGCTTTTCTGGATTTACCTTCACCAGGAACGCTCAAAGCCGAATATTTGAAAGCCAAGGTTGTATAAAACCGAAACAGTTGAAGAGCTTTATAACAAAAAATTACCTAAAATAATAGTCAAATCCTTCTATGGCCAACTTTGCCTGAGGGAGTTGAAACCTTAGTTTCTTTGTAATTTCAAAATTTATAAACGGTCAAATTTAGAAAGAATTGTTATTAATCATGTCAGTACCGAAGTACCGACTACTGAGCTGATGATACCCTCGGGGACTGATAGTCCACCAGCAGAGGTATCGACCCAGTGCTTTAAGAAATGAAAACAACACGTGGTAAATTTAATGCGTTCGAAGCGCTTGTTTGGATTTACCTTCATCAGGAACGCGCAAAGCCGAATATTTGAAAGCCAAGGATATATAAAACCGAAACAGTTGAAGAGCTATATAATCAAAAATGACCTAAAATAATAGTCAAATCCTTCTAAGGTCAACTTTGCCTGAGGGAGTTGAAACCTTAGTTTCTTTATAATTTCAAAATTTACAAACGGTCAAATATAGAAATGTTTCTTATTAATCATGTCAGAACCGAAGTACCGACTACTGAGCTGATGATACCCTCGGGGATTGATAGTCCACCAGCAGAGGTATCGACCCAGTGCTGTAAAAAATGAAAACAACACGTTGTAAATGTAATGCGTCCGAAGCGCTTTTCTGAATTTACCTTCATCAGGAACGCTCAAAGCCGAATATTTGAAAGCCAAGGATGTATAAAACCGAAACAGATGAAGAGCTATATAATCAACAATGACCTAAAATAATAGTCAAATTCTTCTTAGGCCAACTTTGCCTGAGGGAGTTGAAACCTTAGTTTCTTTATAATTTCAAAATTTATAAACGGTCAAATCTAGAAAGGTTAGTTATTAATCATGTCAGTACCGAAGTACCAACTACTGAGCTGATGATACCCATGAAATCATGCTCTGTTTCTGTGATCAGTTTATTTAATTTATATTTTAATGTTTGAAACTGACTTTAAAGTAGTTAATGAGCAGACAGTTCTATCATTTTGCTAACTAAGCTTTTATGATTGTCATCCTATCAGGACCTATATTGTTATTCTGATCTGACCAGCCTTTGCCTCTACGCCTTAACTGCATTCGAAGCATTGAGCAGCAAACCCTAGTATTAAAGCATATGGTTTGACCCGCCTGAGGATCAAACCAACGACACCCCCCCCCGCCCTCCAGGCAAGTAAAATACCACAAACCCTCTTCAGCAGTTCCAAAAAAAATCAAGTATTAAAAAGTAAAATAACAAAAATACAGAATTCGAAGGAAAATTCAAAACGGAAATGGCAAAATCAATAGCTCAAATACATTAAACGAATGGAAAACAACTGCCATATTCCTGACTTGGTATAGGCATCTTATATTATTTTTTAATAAACACTCTCTTTGAGGAAGCAAAGAACGTGAGAGATTGGATGATAGACGCAGACAGTTGGAAGTGAAACAACAAGAAGAAATAGATCGATTCAATGAGGAGAAAAGGAAATTAAATGAAAAATTAGATGAGAAACTTTTGAACCCATTAAAAGCTATTTTTTTTAGTTTTTATAATTATTCAATGAATTAAGGCGACGAAATTGTTTATTGTTAAAACTTGTTTTGTACGAAAGCGTATTTTCTAAAACGTTGAAGATTTAATTGCAATTAAGCACTGTTCTAAACGTGCTCGAAATACATTTGATATACAACAGAATAGGATGAAATGATAAATTATCCAGTTTTTATTGTGAATATTATTTTTAAAATTACTTTACGAGTAAGTAAGTATTTTGTTACAAGTGTTTACCTATTTGTATGAATAGGAATAAGAATATATAATTTCTACATAACAATAGAAGAAAGTGTTCAAGTACAGTTGAACAAATTTAATGTTATGCTCCTTTTTGTAATATTGATGTTGAAGTAAGACTTTGGCCCAGTGCACCAGGGGATAGTGATGTAACTCATTATGTAGATGACATTATCAGTCGGTTTTTAACTCTGTAGCATCTGTTGCATCTGACGCATTTGCGTCAAACATACATTTAGCAATGAATAATAAAACATTATATTGAGTGTACAATATTAAGAATCATCTGCAAAATGAACCAAGAATCGATTATCGAAGCATTACTAGCGAGATTATGATAAAAATATCATGTTATCCCATTTATTGTAGAAGCCGGAGATTTATTTTAACATTTTAATCCAATAATAACTTGAAGTTGGTCTGTCAAAAAGTCAAATTCATCGGATCAACTTATAATCAATCCCTGTTTATAAGGTTAAAAGTATCTGTGATTTGCGTATCGATAGATTATTTATTCAGTCCCACTTGTAAATCAATTTTGATTTTAACAGATCTTTTAAATATGAACATTAAATTATTATTTATATAATATCCAATCTTTTAGCCAATTTTCAGACTTATCGTCTGCGGTAAATTCAGTACTGTCTAGGCAATTTTCTTGCAGTCAATAAAGATATGTTTACTCTATGTTTAGACTATTCAGTGTTTATCATTTACCTGTTCACATCAAACGCTACTGAACAGTAATGAATTTACTGCAAGCGAATTTTATCTTTTCATTTAGTATATAATTTAGAATGGAAACGGGGAATGTGCCAAAGAGACAACAACCCGACCATAGAGTAGAAATCAGTCTAAGACCACCAATAGGTCTTCAACGCAGCGAGAAAATCCCGCACCCGGAGTACATGTATATAGTATCACATACATTCTATAGGATATATCTAATATTTAGTTTATTCTACGGATCAACGAAAAAATTTGTTTGTAGCATCAGGATATATATAAACCTTTGGAGACCTGGTAGTTTCTAGGGAAATTCCACAAATATACAAATGTTAGAGCGTAGGGTAGTTAGTATCTCGTCCATGTATACATTTTGGTTCTCAATGCTCTTCAACTTCGTACTTTTTTTGGCCTTTTTAATATTTTTTTATTCGAGCGTCACTGATGAGTCTTTTGTAGACGAAACGCGCGTCTGGCGTAAATATAAAATTTCAATCCTGGTATCTATGATGAGTTTATTTGAAGCTTTATGAAACGTTATTAAAAATAACGACTTTTTATGTAAGTTTTTTTCTTCAATAGAACACAATGTCTAGACATTTAGAACCTGTCTTAATTTCATCACATAAGAGACTTGTTTTAATAAGTAAATTACACATTGATTTTAAATCATTACAATTAATAAATAAATAACAGATTGATTTTAAATCATTACAATATCTATATTTTTATAGGATACCACATGAAATGTTTATTTGGAAGTAAATGTGGCAGAGATGCTGTAACTATTAGTCATCGCGGTGAAATAAGGTACTATTATGACATTATATCAACTGACAAACAAGTTGTGTATGTTTGTTGTCGGGTTGGTAAAATAATGAATCTCAACGAAAAAAGCTTTATGTGTCCCTAAGAGATCGAATTGGATATTTTGAGATATAGAACGTAATAAATGGTGATCTTGTTGTACCCTTGAAGGTCATTACACTGAACTGCAGTCAAGTTTAGCGTTTGATAATTCATTAATAACGTTCTGGCGTATCCCAAACAAACAACTTGTAACGTCCCATTTCATTGGCATATGTTTTTATTTAGTAATAATCTTTATGCAATAACATATGTACCGGATTATGAACAATATAAGCTTAGTATAGATACATGTGCCACATTTATACGGGTAAATTTATTAAATACATGAACCATGCACTTTTAAATTTCTTTCACACTGACGGGATACAATTATATCCAAGGTTTTTGTCCTGACAATGTCGTAGTTACATGTAATAAAAATCTCATAATAATATTAATTCATGATAGGTTTCACATTTCTCTTTTTTTTTATTCTATAAAACGAACATACAAATCTGATGTACAGTAGTTGTCGTCTGTTTATGTAGTTCGTACGTGTTTCTCGTTTCTCGTTTTTATATAGATTAGACCGTTGGTTTTCCCGTTTGAATGGTTTTACACTAATAATTTTTGGGGCCCTTTATAGCTTGCTGTTCGGTGTGAGCCAATGCTCCGTGTTGAAGACCGTACCTTGACCTATAATGGTTTACTTTTATAAATTGTTACTTGGATGGAGAGTTGTCTCATTGGCACTCATGTCACATCTTCTTATATCTATATACAGTAGCTAAGCGTTTGGTCATTCAGAAATAACATATCACAAATGAAAAAAATTGTCCCATTCATTCACCGAAAGATAAAAAACAACAATAATCGTATGGTGCAAGTGAATGAACACAATTGACGTACTATGGAATGTACTTTCATGGTTAATACGAAAATAAAATGAATTGAAGGCATGTTTGTGTAATAACGTTTTGAAATGTAACACTGGAGGAGATTTTGGTTCTATATGTGTATAACTGAAATATAAATAAATACTTGTGAGAAATGTCTAGTTTATAAGGACCAATTTTAAAAGTACTGTTTCGATTTTAATTGGATGGTAATTTGTCTTTTGATTTTACACTAAGATGAACCTACCGGAAGAATGGAGCACAAGATACACATTGATTATGAATGAAATTAGATTATTAAAAGAAAAATCCACCTTTTCTTTTAATGTCTCTAAGAAGCAATTACCTACTAAAATAGAATGTCTCTGATATGCCGTGGTTAAAATGTACAAGTCACAATGTTATCAAGACGACGAATTTAGAAAAATGACTCATTAGCAGATTCAGATGTAGGATACTGGTTGTACATATAGAAAGATATTTTATTCTCCAAAACTAAGTATAGATTTACAGAGAAACATAAAATTAAAGGTAAACAGCTGTAGTATGCTCATTTAAAATGAAGTACAAAATTATACATGTATAATTAACTGTTAAACAAAATATGAAAAAATTAAGGATGACAAGGAGGGACGCACCTTTTTATTAAAACATTCAATGAATAAACATACTTTCTTTAAACTTATTGTTTTTCATTACCAAACAGTGTGTTAATTGACATAATACTTGTTCTTCTATGTGAATCTATGTAAAATATTTACAATATATAATTTACGTTCATTTTTTAACTGAAAACAGCAAAACAAATAAATATTAATTCACTAGAAGTATCGCCGGAGTGACATTTCCTTTGCACTGCGGCCAATGTTTTGTCATCTCCATTTTCCTCTCAACAAAACATGGTTACCTGCTCTGAATTTATTTACAATTTCGGGATTTTTTTTCAAAATCAAGTAAACCTGGGAAAATATTATACGAAAATATTTTATGTCCCAGAGTAAACTGAATCGGAAAAAAAATCATATTATCCTAAGTCAAATCAATAAAAACCCAAGTCATTGGGATTCCATTTTTTTATTTCTATGTAGTTTCATATTTATAAAAAAAGATGGTTAGGTATGCGTAAGTCTAATTTAAGAGTGAAGGAGGAGGGCTGTAAAATCGTGCAATATCTTTATTAAGTAAAATTGTGATTTGTGTAGTTTATTGGCAAAACATGCAAACCCCGGCAAAAAAGCAAGATACAGATAAGACCGATTGCACAAAGTTGAACTTCACCGATGACAAATGAAAATGAATTTATTGTTGACATGATGAAAAATTATTCCAGTTTTGTTGTATTAAATAGTTGTTTATCATCTGTTATCCATGTTGCTTCTGAAGGCGGATATTCTTTTTGTTTTTTATTAATTTTATTTCATGCGTTCCTTTGTTACAAAAGAAAATAAATTCCGATTCTCCTATGTAGCTGTTCCTCAGTTGTAAACAAATTCCTTAAGTTCAAGACCAGGATATTCTTTATCATGCTAGTATTACTTTAATTTATGTGCAAGGACACTCACACAATCACTTCTTAAAATACAGTAGCGAACATTAAAAACTCATTATCTCATTATTAAATTATCATTCACTATTTAGGAAGTGTTTGTGATGTTCGGTCATACATTCTTTCTTCATCGACAAGATAAAGAAAGAAAAAAACACACTTTACTATGCTTGCAAGCAAATATAGACATTTTATATTTTTTTGTAAATACGATTGAAATTAGTTTTACTCAACAATTTTTAAAGTGATATAGACATATTTAAGAATCACAAATTCAAGTAAACTAACATAATCAGGTAAAATCGCATACTAGTAATCAAGTAGATTAATTAAAAGCTATTGCTTTCAGAGTAAAGGTTATTAATTTCCGGTTTACATTTATATGGATATTGATCATTAACCCCACTCATTCCTCTTTCTGGATGTATGTAGTTTGAAATCTCGTTCATATCTGCTACAGCATCAATGTAAAGGTCATCTGGTACTGGATGGTGATGTCTGTAGCAATACAGGACAGCTAATATGATCAGTATGAACACTAATACACAGCCTACCGTCGCACCAACTATTGCAGCTTTATTTATATCAGTAGTTCTAGGAGCAGATGCTGGTAGAGGTTTAGCTTAAATTGAAGAATGTACATTCGGTACAACCAACATTTAGTTGAATAATGCAAAAAATGTTGTTCATTTAAATTTTCTATAATACTTGAGCGAACAAAATAATTCAGGATAAACGACAGATGTCCTCAATAGGTCAATGAATCATAAAAAATATTTAAAAGTTAATTTATAAATAGCAGAGTGTCATTTTTCTGATTTAGAAATAAAATCCCGTGGTTATACGTCATGCTATAATAACCAAATACATCCGATACCTGTGATGAATGTTATCAACCATGTGATACCTAAATTCATAAACCGATTGACTTTCAATTTGCCTGCAATCGAGCACACAATATTGTATGAGCATCTTCATCAATGAACACTCTCCAACAAGTACACTCAAATACTATTTATGACACAAATCTCCTTTTGTTTAACTTGTATACTAATATTATTCTTGACAAAAATCTCGTTTTCGTTGAACTTGTGTTGTTGATAACTGTTCCTGTTACAGTTTCTCTCTAGGTTTCTTCTATAGTTTGTCTTTTTTTCTAGGTTCCGTGTGGTCATACATCTCATCAAGTATGTATACCAAATATATATTTTTTAATGTTTCCCAATCAAGAAAAGCACTTCAAACGTCTGACATTTGTAAGTTCTCACTTATCGTTGATTAATTATAACCCGTTTAATATTTATTATAAAATACAAAAAAGACAGTTAATGCAATACGTACCACATGTATGTCTGCTTGTGGATTTAGTTTTACCGAATGTGCACTCTTCTTTCAGCCGACAACAGGGCGTCTCTATTTGCTCTTTTGTATCTGTAAATTCACACCAGCTACACTCACCTTCACTAAGACAATCTCTAAAATATGGTTATTACATTGAATGAAGAATATTTGTAAAAAAGTAAAACAACACACAGATGAGGGATCAATCAAAAGGCAAAGGTCCGCGACTTTCATGCCGAAAACAAATCATATAGTCTTCAAACAAAAGTCGTCCTGTTTATTAATGGTTAATGCAAATGACCATGTTTAAGATTGTATATTGAATAACTACGTTCTTGAGGATAATGTTTCTTTTAAAATACACAATTTTTCTTTCCAGCCCTTTGTTTCTGCAAATCTCTATGACATAAGTTTCTCATTAACATTTTCCTAAAAAAGACTTTTCCTTAAATACAAATCAATCGAATTCATTTGCAAACATTAATGTGCAAAAATTAAAATAACAAAAATACCGAACTCCGAGGAAAATTCTAAACGGAAAGTCCCTAAGCAAATGGCAAAATCAAAAGCTCAAACACATCAAACGAATGGATAACAACTGTCATATTCCTGACTTGGTACAGGCATTTTCTTATGTAGAAAATGGTGGATTAAACCTGGTTTTAAACCTAGCTAAACCTCTCACTTGTATGACAGTCGCATAAAATTCCATTATGTTGACAACGATGTGTGAACAAAACAAACAGACATAAGTGTTTATCGTTTCTCGTTTTTTATATGAAGTTGAAGTCATCCCTTCGTAAATTTTACGGATGCCATCACGAGTTGGTTGACCGTTATGGAATAACCGTTTCACAGATGATATCGGATATGTTCCTTATGTCGTAACTACAATACCCTCCTTTTTCACGAATGTGATTTACCGAATTAGACTATTTATCGGATTTGTAATAACACAAGTAACACGACGGGTGCCACATGTGGAGTAGGATCTGCTTACCCTTCCGGAGCACCTGAGATCACCCCCAGTTTTTGGTGGGGTTCGTGTTGCTTAGTCTTTGGTTTTCTATGTTGTGTCATCTGTACTATTATTTGTCTGTTTGTATTTTTATTTTTGGCCATGGCGTTGTCAGGTTGTTTTCGATCTATGAGTTTGACTGTCCCTCTGGTATCTTTCGTCCCTCTCTTATATAGATTAGACCGTTGGTTTTCCCGTTTGAATGGTTTTACACTAGTAATTTTGGGGGCCCTTTATAGCTTACTGTTCGGTGTGAGCCAAGGCTTCGTGTTGAAGACCGTACTGTGACCTATAATGGTTTACTTTTATACATTTTGACTTGTATGGAGAGTTGTCTCATTAGCACTCATACCACATCTTCTTATATCTATATAATAGGTAAAAATGTCAAAAATAGGGGTACAATAGTCAACATTGAGTTATAATCTTAATCACTACAAAAACAAGAATAAATGTCAACAAAGACAAACAAAAAGACATATAGACAAAGCACATTAGCAAAAAACGAAAGACAAGAATACAAAACTTCAAAGGGCAATTGAAATTTATAGTATACATACGTTTTATTTTGTTTTCGGGGACAAGCTGGATCAAAGCATGCTGACAGTCCATCCAAAATATCTGGTTCATTATTAGCTGACGTATCTGGTAATCTGGCACTACAGGGTGGACTTGCTTCTCTGTGGAGAAAACATTGATCATGTGTATGTAGTTATATCCATATGAGATTTACAATCCATCTGAAGTAGAATGTGTCTGCCCTACCGGAGCACATGCGATAAACCTTGGTTTTTAGTGGGTTTTTATGTTGTTTAGAGTTCTGCGGACATTTTTGCATTTTCTTCGTTTTTCGTTGTTTTCCAAGGGCTTGTCAGATTCTGAAGGAGTTTTGAATGTCCCGTTTGTATCTTCCGCCTCTGTTAGTATTTTTTTAATGAGTTTGTGCGTGTTATAGTTCATGTTTTAAAATTCTGAATGAAATATACGACTACTTTTTGACGTCTTTTAATGAACATGTGATATTATTTAAGGATGTACTCAGGTGAAATAATGAAAATTTAGAATTTTAAATTGATACTATAAGTCAGAGATGCATTAGTTAAGGAACAAAATAAGCTAAAAATATTAATAAAATATATGGAACTCCTTTTTGCGATATTTGATTTTTTTTTAAATGGCGGGAAAAGGCTGACTCGGACTCTTACCTTATATCTAGCATTGGCATTAATTGGGTCTCAAATCGTTATTAAAAAAATCTAGAACCTGCTTAAAATTTGGTAATGACCTTTTTATGAACTATTGAATCTTCTATTAGAAGAAAAGTGGGTGATATGGGGCAAAATATCTTCCCCTGTATTATAGGGGAAAACCCAAGGAGTCCGAACTTCTGACAAAAATTCCTAAACCTGACCTGACTACATCCTTAAGGGATTTTGTTTTACATTCTAATAAGTTCAAGTACTGGTTTATTAAAAGTATACGTGGTTAAAGACCGTTTGAAGGTCAATGCTTTGACCTAAATTGTAATATTTAATAGGCAATCTTTATAAGTGTGAGCTGATATTGTAAAAATGAAAACTACCCGAAGCGCACTTAATTTAAGGAAGGTTTTAAGCGTTGAAGAATCAAAGCAAATATAATTGTCATGACAAACCGAAACACACTATAAGAAAAATAAAAATGAATAACACTGTTTAACGTACTTTGTATCGTACTTGTTTGTACACACATCGAATTGTATTGGTCTGTGACAAAGACAATCACAATGGTCATTGCAAAGCAAGTCATCTGGAGACGTTGAAACCTAACATGTACATTAAAAACAAGCAAATGTTAAATGCAGAAAAAAGTCTTATGTTTTTTCGCTCAATATTTACAAAAATGAGATTCATTTTTTTTAGTTATCACGTAAAATTTCGTGACATTTTATTGATATTTTTTTTTAAACTTTTGTTAAATCAATATTCGTTCATGTAATAATATCGTCTTACATGAATTACTATATATCTTAAATATCCATTACCGCTGTAACAAGAGAGAGAATACACATTACAAGTATGCAGTTCACATTTTCAAGAAGTCTTCTTTCTGTTTACGTAAGGGTGTTACACAATGATTCACTTTAAACCTCGATGTTTCGTCTTCAGTTGAAATTGGTTACTGAAATTTCGTTACCGTCGTTTGAATTTTGATTGTTTTATGATAAGAAAAAGGTAGGTAAGAAGTTTTTTTCTTTTATGTATCTAACTTAAAAGGTGTACTTACACAAGAACATCCATTAAGGGAAGGTTTTTGTTTTACTCGGATAATGAATAGATTACTCTCTGGAATAGGCCTCATCTCAAAAACTTCCGATTCAAATCCTCGTTCAATATGCAATGGTAGCGTTACCTATCATAATCAAAGTAAGTATTACAACATGCAAACATTAAATCCCACAAAAAAGGTATATATATAAATTATTTGAATAAGTTCTTTATAAGCTAAATCTTTTAAACCAATTCACGTCGTGTTGATGGGAAATTGAAATATTTCTACAAATACAAAAGTTTAGAAGACTGTTTGGTAAAGATGTAAAGTAAAATTTGGACTACACCTCGAAATTAATGTGGATGATTTACACACAAAATCTTATCTCTTTTTGTTCGACAATTTTGTCATGTTTGCATTTGAAAATCAAATAAGATAAATAGTGTATTCGAAAGTTTTTTTCTGTCATGACCAAATCATGTGTTTACTTCTTTAAAGCGCCACGCTAACATCAAGGTGATTGATTTAGTAACAACGTTATTTACTGTCGTTAGAGTGGATGTTGACTGGAACGTAAAATAGCTCAAACCAGAAGTTTTATCATACGTACCCTATAAGACCGTAAGTTTTTATTTTTCGAGAAGTCCTGACATATATTGCTATTCAATATATTTCTATTTATCATTTCCTCTGCAATACTATGCTCCTGTAATTCAATGTTAACAGTGGTTAATAAAACCTTTTACCCCACGTCATAATTCCGATTTTTCAAATCCTAATTTAACTGTTGAACTTTTTGGCCAATCGTTATCTAACTCGTAATCTAAATAACATAATGTAAAAGCTACTGTAAATTAAAAAATTATTGCGAGGTTTTTATCAATGCAAATAATGCGACTGGGTGAGTATAGTTATTATAAAAACTCGGTTTCTGATATCTGATCCATATAAATGAATGTATTTTTTCCCGAAATCGAAATAACTAATCTCGTATTTTTTTTACATTCGCAAGAATCATAATTATGAATGCACGCAATAATTTATGAATTTACAGTACATAAAAGTTAAAATATACTGACAGACTTTAAAAAGGCAACACTAGATTATTATTTTTTATTTCCATTTTCAAATAGCCTATTTTCGTAAAATAAATGTATAAACATACATTTTATTTATTTCTTAATTGTCTAAAAAAAAGGTTGCAGTTCAAAAGTTGAACTGATGACGTCATTTTTAAAGTTCAAATCATGTGGTATGCTCCGAAACCCTGGTTTCCCCCTTATTAATGGATGTGTCACCGTCGAAGGCAATGACTGCCTGTAACCAACGCCAAAATTATTGTCAGAAAGGTCAACCAATTCTGTTGGGCATGTTTTGAGTTCTGTTTTGAACCTTCTGAATTTATCTCTGTCCCATACATTACAGTGTGTTTTAGCAATTAAGTGGTTTAAACTTTTGGGCTTTAAATGTTTTTTTTTGCAGTCGATTCTTTGGAATTTCAGTATATGGGAAACATTTTTGGAATGAATCTGTCTACCATGACATTCGTCGACTTGATTAGCAGTTGACGTTGAGGCCGTAAACATGTCTCGCAAATGACGTTACATAATCAAATTTTATTGACGTTGCGTTGTCACTACATATTGGTCTGGTTATGAATGGTCATCAACAAATCCCGTCTACCTGTATCGTTGTTGTAAGGACAGTAAAACGAGTTTCTGAAATGAAATTGTCCGAAAACAGCACGTTCACATATCCCTGCCTGCAATATTCTTATGACCTGATTCAGATTTTCATTGCTTAGTCTCGGCAATATGGAGATGCAACAATTTTTTAATGATTCAAGTGTTGGTATGGATTGAAAGAATTGTTTCACGAAAACAAATCCTTAAAAAAATCATTTATAGGATTCAAATTTTCCCTTTAAGAAATTCGTGCGACTTCAATAATCCGGTATGTTCAATGACCTCAGGAAAGTCAGGTATTGAATTTTTCTAACCATAAAAAAGTATGGTAAGCATGAATAGTAGTTCTATGAGGATCAATGATAATTTGGTAAAAAAAATCACCAAAATGTGTGTTGCGTTTCTAAAGTCCGTCAGTATACGATATCTAAGACTACATTTGTATTTCGTCAGTAAAAAATACCGACGTAGTAGCAAAAACTGCATGATTTTTTTTAGTACTGTAGATTAATTACTTTGAACTTGTTTTTTGCAATTTAAGGCATTACAATATATGTTATTATATATTATATATAGGTACCAAGACCTTGTTGATAAATAGTCCGTATCAACTTCACAAATAATACATGATGGTCTTGAAGTATAGATTCTTTCATTTGTCTTTGTTTTATTATTAATGTTACTTTTACTGTTTGGTTTGTTTTCTGTGATATCCATTTGACGTGGCTCGGTACTCTTACATCCCGTCAATGTGTTTGTATTATCTTTCATTTTTGCTGGTGTGTTTTGTATATGCGACTTTTTGCGTTTCTTTGGTTCTTATAATGTGACTCTGTACTTTAAAAGATCCCGTCATTATGTTATTGTTCTATTATATGTCATTATGTTATTGTTCTATTATATGTCATTATGTTATTGTTCTATTATAAATTTGAAAATACTTTGAACGACAAACGACAAATTTATTTTACTCTCGTAGTGGTATTAACCATATGTGGATTCTCAAAAATTCTAAAGAACTTCTGGACAATTTTAAATCTCGGTCTATTTCTGAAATTAATTATAACATAACGTTTTATTTTTTAACCCTGTATACCAACATTCCCCATGTGAAATTATAAAATTGTTCTGAATAAACATTGAACGACAAAATTTCTTCTTATGTGACGTTTACATTTTCTGACGTCAGACACGCAAAGCACTGAACGTGGTTTTTAATTTGATAGATGCTTTTGTGCTTTTTTGTAAATGATTGTTTGTTTTGATATTGTAACAAAGTGATGATTGCTGTACCTACATTTTGACTATTTTATTTATTATTTCTGTTTTGTTCACGCATCGTTGTAAATATAACGGAATTTGATGAGACTGTCGTACAAGTGAGAGGTTTGTCGCTATAAAACCAGGTTCAATCCACCATTTTCTACATTTGAAAATGCCTGTACCAAGTCAGGAATATGACAGTTGTTGTCCATTCGTTTGATGTGTTTTGTCATTTGATTTTGCCATGTGATTAGGGACTTTCCGATTGAATTTTCCTCGGAGTTCAGTATTTTTGTGATTTTACTTTTTTTTTATATAAATGCAAGTTTTCCTCAATCCACAAAAATTGCTACCCACGAAAATAAATGAATCCACAATACATTTAGTATTCTATAGTCTTGTCATCTGTAGTATGAATGATATAAAGTTTATTAAATTTTAAACAAACATGTTCGTTTTGCTTTATATTAAGTGTTATATCAAGTGTTTTTATCTGATGATATTGAAAAAAAGACAATTAGAAACGAAAACTTAGCTTGATGAACATTTTCCCGAGACTTTCCGAACGTCAGTGATTGCAGGTGTTATTTATTGTCATGGTGTGTGATACCTTATCACTTGATATAAATCAACGTCGCATTTTATGAGAGTAACACGACGAGTTTCACATGTGGAGCGGGACCCTTCCGGAGCACCTGAAACCACCACCATGGTTTGTGTTTCTCAGTTTTTCTTTTTTCTATGTTGTGACTGTTGTTTGTCTTTTAGTTTTTTTTCCGATTTTTGCCATCGTATTAAAAATTCGTTTTCGTCTAATGAGTTTGAATACTCCTACCTATCGCCTACATCTCTTTTAATAGTCGTTTTATTCTTGTGAGAATTTGTTATTTTGGGGTAATCTATGTAATATACATTCTAATTTAAATAATTATTAATAGAGATTGACATAATGTATCATGATGTATTGACTTTAGTGGATGACCAAATGGTTAATTTTAAATAGTTTTTGATATATTTTATGTAAGTGACGTATGATAACATAATATTATTTGTATGTTATTCTTATTTCATGGTTTCTCGTAACGAATTTCATTTAATCATGTTTTCCCATACAGTTGCAATTAAATATTACACTACAAATTCTGATCACACATAATAAATTACTTGACAAACCTCTATACTTATATGTCTAGGTTCCTGGAATTGTGACTCTTCTGTTATATTTTTTATTTTTGGATGCATTACAATGAATCCACTATCATCGATAATAATACATCTTTAAAAGTAAAGAAAAAATAGTTCAATAACAATATGCAAAATTGAATATATGTGTTGCGATTTTGATCGGGATATTATTTGTAATGTACCTTGGGTCATGGTGATTTTTTTTTTGACTAGTTGTTGATTACCCTCTACGTATCTTCTTTGTTATTCTTAGATGAGTGAGATGCTGAAGGTTGTTAAGTTTTGTATGTGTTTTTCATTTAAGCCATACTAATGCATTAAAGTCTGCAAATTTCATGACAGAAACGATACAATTTATATTTGAAATACAGAAAATGCGCTATTAAATGTTATCGGTTTTTCTTTTTTTGTTTATTTTATAGAAAAAAAAAAACAAATTGCAAAGGTTCCAAGAGAGTGGTATATTACATTTCTCTCTGTTATTTAAAAAAAATTGATTCACATTTGAATGCTTTTCCAACCGTTTGCAATCTAGTGACATTTAACTACACTTTCCTCTATATAAATGATGTTCTCTCACTAAATAATTCAAAATTTTGTGAATGTATTGAACGCATCTTTCCCATCGAACTTGAGATAAACGATACACGAGATACAGTTTAATCTGCCTGACATCTTGACTTGCATATAAAAATTTACAATGAGGTTCGGTTGAAAACAAAACTTTACGACAAAAGAGATGATTTCAGCTTCTAAATTGTGAACTTTCCATTACATTTCTATGTAAAAACATTCAAGCAACGCCAGCATATGGAGTATACATGTATATCACCCAGTTGATTCGGTATTTCATTTGTGTATTTCCTATCATGATTTCCTTGAAAGAGGGTTGCTGCTCAAAAGGAAGCTATAAAGCCAAGAGTTACAAGTGGTGAAGTTGAAATAATCCCTTCGTTTTTTACGGACGCAATCACGAGTTGGCTGACCGTTACGAAATATCTGTTTTACAGATGACGACGGATATGTTCAAATTGAACTGAATACATATCAGTTGACCACAAGCAAAGTTTAAAATCATTTCTGTATTATAAAAATTGATAACGTCTGACACTTGACTGACAAAATGAACAGTAATGAATAAGTAATCGTTCAGATTCTAAAGATCGGTAATATAAAATTATATTTCCATTCAATATTTATTTATTATGCTTTAATGTGTTAAACGAAAAATTAAGTATTTGTTTACCCAAAATCCTTTTCACATGATGGATACACTTTACTGACAAACAAATCGAAATATTTCAAGGCAAAATCAGCACCAACAACGGCGGTCGTTTGAGTAGGACTGAAAAGATATGCATTTTATCATAAGTTAGTATATATATTATATCTTATTTGACAAATGTAGGGACTATTGTCCCTGAATTTATTTTCCACTAAAGCTGTTTTCGAAAAGTGTCTAAATCTTTACCGAAATCATCGTAGCTCTGTGTTCTTCGAGGTGAAATCCTTTATTCAAACTAATCTTAAATTGGTAGTGAAGCTATATATTAACTATCGGAACCAAATGAAATATTTGTTGTTAACCACGTCATTTCATGTGAAATTTTACGAATCATTTGAAGACTTTATAAACATTGTTTTGTTTTAATCTAAATACACCTAGCAGCAACTTGTAGCGCTGAATATCAATTTCATGGAAATATGTAAATTGTGAAAAACTGTTTTACGTATACGTTGAAAGGTTTTAGATATTCAATTTCCAGTTGGATCGGTCTTGACAGTTTTTTTTTTTTCGTGATCGAAACGTTATTATAGGACAGGCTCCTGCTATATCCAAGTAGAGAAACAATCTGACTACGAAAACTTGTGAATTTTAGTATAACATGCACATTTCATGATTGATGAACACAAACATAAGTTATCAAAAGACTTCGAATATTACATATATCGCTTGATGTTTTGATATATTCTTTTTGAAAAACGACGTACTTGATTGTATTTCAATATTTACCTAATTTTCATAACAAATTTGTAAAGCAAGCAAGTGTAAAAGGAATTGTCCAACTTTCATTCGAGATAGACTTCCTACAACATTTTTGAATTTTGGTTGTCAAAGCTATTCAGCTTATTAATTTATTTGGTTTCCCAACCTTTTTTTATTTACTACTCACTGACATGGGACTTTTTTTTTTAGAGGAGACGCATATTCGGCATACAGAGTTATCAGCTTGGTTTATCTTTTGACTTTTCATGTTGCTAGGTAAAACATCTCAATAATCGGACACATATGATACATACACATGCTTAAATTAACTTTCCATGAGAACTACAAGGTAACAGTAAAAATTGGTTCTGATGAACTTTAACCAATGTTTATGAAACCAGTAAAACAATAGTTATAAAACACAATGCGGATTTTTGACATTTATTTGTAGGGTGATGGAATGTCCTATGAATTATGTTTTGTTTAAAGATGCAGAAAATTTCAAAAATAAAACCTTGGTATGGTGTTTCTACAAACTTACTTTTTCCTATATATCGTATGTACAAATGATACGACAATTCCAGCCCCTGATGCATCATAATACGGCGAGGTCAATATCATCCTATTTGGGTGTGCCAGTGCTTCTCTCCACCTACAGTTATGATGTTTTACAATAATTAACAAAATTGTTAACAATCATACAAAAGAAATTAGGATTTAATTTTGAAGTTGAAGATAGCTGATTGATTGTTGCCAAAATTTATGTGAAATACATTTTATTAAGGCAACAGTAGTATACCGGTGTTCAAAAGTCATAAATCGATTGAGAGAAAACAAATCCGGGCTACAAACTAAAACCGAGGGAAACACATCAACTTTAAGTGGAAAACTGAAGTGCAACAAAAACAAACGCCAACATACATAGAAACCATCTATTTTATAACAACTACCATATTCCTGACTTGGTACAGGACATTTTAAGAAAATAAATAGTTGATTGAACATGGTTTTATGGCTAGCCAAACCTCCCGCTTTTATGGCAATGTTAAAAATATCGCTAAAATGACAACACTACGTGACAGAAATACAGCACAAAAACACGTAAGAACACTCATCACATAAAAACGCACAAACAAATAATATAATAGTCGACACAACATGCAAACCGCAGAACAAAAACGAACATCTTCCATCAACGACAGACGCCACAGGACATCACAAACAGTGGCGCACTTTTGTAACGAATATGTAATCTTCTACTTCACACAATTATTTTCACAACACTAGTCCAAACAATTTTTACGACAATGATGGTATTGACAGGCTATTTTATAATTATTTGGACTACAAACGATAAGACATAACACATTATGAAACCGAACCCATAAAAGAAACATCAAAAATAAATGCATGAATGTTGGATGATTAAAATACCGAGACACGTCGTATAGCAATGCAAGTTCACACTCGGCATAACAGTCAAATTCGGGAATAGGTCACGTTCGGTACTTAGCAGACAGACGACATAGATGTTAAACCACAATATATGACGTGGTGAAAATGTCATTAGTTAGTTTAGACAGAGACACATCGTATAGATCAACCAATTTGTGATGGTGTCCATAAAATTTACGGAGTGTCATTTTTAATATTTCCTCCTCATAACTCTGTTGGAGCAGTTTCTGCGTAATGAGCACACTCCTAAATATGACGTCCGTATAGTATGAACATGCACGAGCATAACGTATCAATTGAGATATGTAAACACCATACGACGTAGCAGAGGGTATGTTACTGCTGAGAAATGGGAAATTGATAATTGGGAAGTTAAAATCATCCCGTTTGTCATAGATTTTAGTGTGAAGTCGTCCATCTGTGTCAATATTGAGGAAAAAATCAAGGTATGAAGCAGTCCTTCTTGTATCAGTAGTATCCTTAATTTCAAGTTCACTGGGATATATGAGATGCAAGTACTGACTGAAATATGGGTTATTCGGTGATAGGACATCATCAATATGTCTGAAAGTAAAATTAAAGAATTTTGCAAGGTGCTTTTTCTTTTTGTCTTTTATATATATAGACTATAATATAATATAGACTCAGGCGAATATGTCTGCTAACTTATAAAAGTAGGTACTGTTAAAAAAAGGGTCAACAAAATTGAACTAAGACTTGAATTTTAGATATCAACATGAAAATTATGTTGAGAACAAGCAAAAATACATTACAATAGGTCACCAAGTTAACTAAACAGCTTCAAGAATAATTTTACGGTTTTTTTTAAAGTCAAAGGAACGCTAACCAAACACGGGGGATCTAATTGAACATTTCCCTTTCCATCAAGACATGGTGCATTTAAATGTGTTCATCACACATAAGGCGTCTGCCTGTGCAGATCTCAATGTCAAGATGATCATATTTCTATTAACTTTAACCGATCGGGATTGGTTATTGTAAAGCAATGAAGACATTTGACGTCCTTCTATCAAGTTTTCAACGGATCGGCAATAATGTTTTCATTTTGAAGTCAAAATATTTTACTGTTAGCTTGACATACATGTTAACTGCAATGACATTAACAAGAATATAATACTGAAGGCCGTTTGAACATTTTGTACATGATCCCTTACTGGTTTTGGGTAAAACACATCTGCTACGAGATGGCATCAATCTGGTTTCGATGGCTAGGCTGTCGATCTTATTGGCATCATTAACGCCATCTGTTATGATTGGCGATGTGGCAAGTATCAAAAGATCAAATAGATCAAAGAATGAAAACAACAGCACTTCCATGTACGGTCTTCATACGTGCACAAACTCCGTTTTGTTAGCAATAAAACTGAGACAACACAATGTGCCTGATTTAAGCAAATAACATATAACGAAAAACGATCATTTTCCGAAACTAGACCGAACGACTGCTTTCGGCCGGTTTAAAAAATAAATGGAATGCAATCAATCCAACAGTTTTGCATCATTTGTACGTAGTTTCCAGTCTAGTCATCTAACATATATCATAAAGTGCCATATAACTGTCACTGTATTTTTACAGTGAAATTGTTGGGTCAATCTATAACTTTAACAGCAATAAAAAAGCTTTGTGTATGCTTCTTATTTGGATTAGGTAGGATAGTCGTCTCCTTGGCAATCATACCACATCTCCTCACGCTATATAAGAGGTTGACTCAATATAAAACTTTTGATTCTTTACCATATTCAAGGGAGGTTAATCATCAACTGCCTTTTGGTGGAATGTTTTATAAAAAAATTCTTCATGTAATGTTTTAATTCAAGCGCCACTGAAGTGGTTTATGTTGAAGAATTGCGTGTAGTGTGTATCAAATAATAAACCTGGTATGTTTTACGAGTTATTTTTTTCCTACAGAAACCAACCATATATTTAAAAGTTAAAATTGTAACATGTGATGGTTGTCAGCCATCTCAGGTTTCCAACGTGAGGTGGGTCTCGTTCTGTTGAACAAGTACAAAGAGATCCTTAAGTTTCATTGGAAACCGATGATTTCCACAAAGATCAGGTACACGCAATGAAAAATGTAGAAGTAGAGGATGGTAAAACAGTTCAATCATTATACATAGAAGAACCATTTCCAGGAGAAAATTAAACATTTTGATTTGTTGTGTAATATACTTTTTTCTCTTATAAGTATATATGCTGGAGGCGGAGTTATTGTTGTGTACGAAAGTTGGTTTAATATAAAAAGTTCTACGTAATATATTTCTCAATAATTTGATACCATGTTCTTTTCTGAAAATCGTAGGACTTTGCTATGGAAACTGATGGATAGACCCTTGTGAAGCCAGCCTTTGATGCCATAAATCTCAGAGACACATATGTAACTTCCTTTGATCTCCAGAACTGTTCCGCTGTATACGAAGCCCAAACAGCTGATCGTAGTGTTGTCTGAAATATTTGTAATTTAAACACGTTTTGACATAAAAATGACTTGTTATAAAGAAACTAAGGTTTCAACTTCATCAGGCAAAGTTGACCTTAGATGGATTTGGCTATTTTTTGGGGTATTTTTTGTCACAAAGCTCTTCAACTGTTTCGATACTTATACATTCTCGGCTTTCAAATATTCGGCTTTGAGCGTTCCTGGTGAAGGTAAATCCAGAAAAGCGCTTCTGACGGGTGATACAAGGTATGTGCTTAATAAATATTCAAACTATCAATGGTTTCGTCTGAATGCATGAGCTTTGAATTAAAGATCAAGGCTGAAACACACATAACCATTTTATCGGGCAATCGATTAGTTATGATGATGCTGACTGTACCACTTATAAAGAGTCAATTTCTGTCGTCCGGTCGAATTACTCTGTTCGAGCAGTTTTGGCATAAGAAGCACAACAATGATAATGAAGTTCGTATCCTCTGTTCATTGGATACTATTTTTTGTTGATGTCTTTAGTATGAAAAACAAGAAGTTAGTTATCTGCACACAACATTTCCTTGACTTTGTAAAACAGAATTATGAATTTAAATACCCTGAAATATTTGATTCTCCAACCATGAACATTGATACTGACAATAAATGAATCCGAAGTCTGTTGCATACGGTATTGAAATCTACAGACACTGTTCTCATGTTGCATTATAATAATTATATACTTTCATAAACGAATTTCATAATAAATTGAATATCTACAAAATTCTTTATATGGTCCAAATATAGGCAACAGCATTATACCGCTGTTCAATAGTCATAAATCTATTAAGGGAAAACAGATGCGGATTACAATCTAAAACCGAGGGAAACACATCAACTATTAGTGGAAAACAACGGCACAACAGACATACTGAACTGCAACAAAAACAAACGCCAATATACGTAGAAACGGACTATTCCTAAATAAGTGCAGGACATTTTAAGAAAATATGGTGTGTTGAACCTGGTTTTTTGGCTAGCCAAACCTCCCGCTTTTATGGCAATGTTACAATTACCGCTAAAATGACATCACTACATGACAGGAATACAGTACAAACAAACGCGAGAACACGCAGCACAAAGAAATACATAAATAAATAATATAATAGTACATTCCAACATGTAAACCGCAGAATATAAATTGCTTTTCTCTTCTCCAGAGTATTTACTTACATGAAAGCCTGGATTTATTGAACTGGACCGTGTTAGATAAAGTGCATATTGCGTAACATCATCAGCTGTTTCGTCACGATCTAAGTACTGAAATGGATTCTTGAAGGCTGCCTGTGTAAACTTCACATTGCTTTGTTCTGAATAATTATTTCCAATAATAAATTAAATACAGTGATCGGATCAGACAAAATGTATACAGATAAATTGATTAATTAATTGTTGTTTGCTTAACTCAAAGTGGCAATCATTTCGTGCATGTTCATGACGAGAAGAACATATCAATAAATTCAATTAGTGGGGCGGCTCAGTACCGAAATTTGACAAAATCATGCAAATGATGATACAAGCATAGGATTTGGCATATACGTTCTTCAGGGTGTACTTTAGCATATTAGAGGGGTAGCCAACATATTTCTGATTTTTGTCACGGCGGCCATCTTGAATTTAAAATTGACATCATTTTGCTTAATAATGGTTATTGAAAACAGATCCACACCTTTTTCAACTTGATATAGATCATGACAACTATTTGAAATACAATAAACTGACGTGAAAATATGTCAACCAGACAGCTATTGTAAAAATAGATCACCACTTCCGGTTAGGGTCGTAAAAGTTCATACACTCGAGTGAAATAATGGGGATAAGGATATGCGATAAAAATGTCCGTTTGATATATCGGTAATTATGTAAGACATGCAGGAGGGTCGATCAATGTATTAATCTACCATATGTTCCGATGTATTTCATTCTAACAGCTACAGGAACACAATGTTGTACATGTCAAACCAGCTTTGTAACACTTGCATCTACCAGAACAAGTTTTCTTGCATCCACATTTGTTTAACTCCTGGCGAGATGCTGCAATTGCTGCTAATTGTGTCCAATTGGGAATCTACAACCTATCAGCGTTCTCCTTAATCGATCCCCAATCGCCCGGACTAGGTAGTTGTTGTTCATATGTGACTGCCTGTCTCCATACATGACCACCGTGATATGCAGCTCGTTTGGTGTGCTCAAGCAGTGCAGCTCTGGTGGGCGGAATTGTGTCATACTGTCTTTGTTTGCGCGCAAACAATTCAAGCCTGGATTCATTTATGTCAAATGTTGTTGTAGTTCTGTCGTACATAACTACAACAAATACCTCTATCAACTCCATATCAGCTTCACTGACTAATACAGGTTTCTAACTCAATCGCCCAAACACCTCGGTTACATCATCAACTATTTCCCACGTCTGTCATGCCGACTTCTTTCCCTTTCCATGAAAAGCGGAGACAGTGTAACATCCAGTGAGAGCATAAAAAATAGCAAAGCCTCTGATTTAGGACCAAGAGCATGATCAATTTCCTTTTCCTTTTCCAAATGCAACCCGAAGTTTTTCTATTTGTAGTGTTTTGAAAAGAGACACTGCCAAAACCACTACATCAGTGTCTGAGTAGATTATCAGTGTCGACTTACACCCCCTTTTAGCTGCACTTTTGATATGAACAAATATCCGTGTGTCTGCCTCCTCATGATTACAAGGACTGAGATCATCATGTTAATCATAAGAATTGGTCATAACATTTTCGCCTTTTGTCACAAAAATCATTTTGTCAGATGGAATCGAGCAAATTTTATCGGCAAGGAAATAAAACAATTCCGTCTTGTTTTCGTCCACTCTAAGGAAGCTCGACCAAGTTTTCGGAGTCTTACTGGTGCCCACAACTTTCTGCCTGGTTCCAGCACCCCTCGCTTTACGTGTTTGTGCCTTTAGGCTATTTTCTATGTAAATATCATAGATAATGTCTCTTGAATGTTTTGAAGTAAGGTGGATAATGTACGGCAGAATTACATCGCGTACTCATCAAAAGTGTATGTTCCACGCGGTGGTCTCGAATTGACCATAGCCGCACCTTCAACTACTACCATGTGTGTCTGAGGTTATTCTCTTGGTAAATCCCCCTTAGCTTCCAGAACTTAAATAAGCTGTGACTTAACGGCAATATTGATTTTGCCACTTTGAAGAAAGAGGACATTTCTGATTTTCGCGACTGAAAAACTCTTCCAAGTCGCATTGTCTGCTTTGACAGGATATGAAAAGCCTTGAAAACAGACTGCAATCTTCTCGGGCGAGGTCACGCTTGCTTTTTGTTTCACTGGAACTTTTTTTTTTGTTGGCGACTGAACGACAGAAACTTGTTTTTCTTAATAGTTCATAAATGCTTGCCTTGTTTAGCATTCGGGTTCTGAAGTCAGCGTACTGATTGCATCCAGTTTGTTTAATTTGCGACAGCTTTCCTGTGTCTGCTTGTACAATATCTTTACTGTCTATCTTGTAGATATCTTCAGAATCCTCAAGGAATGGATTTCCCTAATCATTCACGACAGTCTTCAGACTTCTCACTTTGTCAATGAAATCTCGTTGCATTGACATAGAATTGTCATGATGCCTGTCATCTGCGTTCTTTCTTCCAGACGAACATTTTTCGAACTGGCTTATCAGTCTACTGATTTCTGGTCCGGCTACCATCCACCGTCTCAAGCAGCCGGATCCTCGGTCAGCCCTACAGCACCCCCATCACCTTTAACAATAGCGTTATTCTGTTCATGAGCCTGGTCTATCGCCATGTTTGAGAAAACGCGATTTGATTTTTTTCACAGTGAAATGCCCTTTTATGAATTCTCTGTAAATATCTGGTTTTTTTGTTTCCAATGAAGTCATATCGCGAAGGTGAATAGGAAGACATCTAGTCCAAAAAAGTATGGGATCAAGGAAGACAACGTTTGTTTGTAAAGCTCAAAATCTGCCTCTCGTAATGATCGAATGTACGAAAAAACGAACAGCTGAATTTCAAGAACCGAATACAAAAATTCAAAATGAGGTCTACCTACTTTTCTTTCTTCACACCATTGTATAAAATTGTCAAATTCTATTGATTCATCAGGATTTTCGTTATTAAAACTTTAATAAGCAGACATCAGTAAATCAAACAAAACACATGCGGTTACTTGATGCGCTAGTCTAGTTTTGGGGGTATAAGAACTTGATAAGAACAATTCTGCAGTCCAAGGGGACACCAACATCTGCTTCTGAAAAGCCTCTATCAAACCGCTATCCCGCAATAAATCACCCAAAACTTTGAAACATGCCATTTCAATATGTAATCCACCAAACATAACAACGAATGTGTTTTCACCGTATTCATTTGGCCATTCCCACTGAATTTGCTTTGCCAAAACAAATAGCGGTTGGTCTGCCGTAATCACTGGAGTTTGACCAGGATTCAAAACTGACACAACATCTCTGACCTTATCCATCGAATGTTTTATGGTAGCAACTGAGTGAGCTTGTTCTTGAAATAATGGCATTAAGCAGGTAAGACTCACTTCAACAGTTGGTCCACGCCTCTCTGAAGAATGAAATGATGACCATGAAATATTTACAGATGTAATATCTTCATTCGTTAACCTAACCGTATTTAACCACTCATACTCATTCTGTAAACTCATTAATATATAGTTGTGATTAAACATGTTAGTTACATCGTCGGACAGAATAAGTGGTTCTGGTTTTGTTTTAAGATCTGCAGGTTTCATATTCATGTAAGCAGCAGGGAGTTCAGGTACCTTTTTAGATTTTGGTTTACTTGTAAGTAATATTATCTGATCCCTTCTAACGCCAACATTTTCTTTCATTGAATGTTGAAAAATAGAGATTCCGGTCTCATGAAAAGATGATTTTGATGATGTTGAGCTGGGGTTGTGGTGTATGTTGTCGACTACAGATGTGGTAAACACTTTGCCCTTTAATAAATAATGATAAAGGCGGGCAAACCACACCTTCATTCAAATAACGTTCAACAACAGCTTCACCTAGTTGAGTTGATATTTCCAGTACCCGATCGTTAGAGATGCATAACCCATGTTGAAATAATGTATCTATAAGCTGTCTCTTCCTGGATTTTGCAAAGAGTAATAGTCCAAGATACACACAAAATAGTGTCTCACGATCAGCTGAATGTCTTGAACCTTCTGGATGTTTCATCATATTTCCTCCTCCTGTGTACACCTGCTTTCGGCCTCTAGCTGTTTGTCTCTTCTTTGCTCTCTCTCTCTGTCGTATACAGATGCGAGACAAGACGAATGATACTTCATTTCTTGTGCTATTACATCACCACTACTTAGTTTTACCAACAGCTGTTTATCCTGTAGAACTGTTGCACAATCCACTAATCGTTGGTTCAGTTTCATTGCCATTGCCTCTCTTAAAGCGGATAAATGCGACTCTTTATCACAAATGAAACATTTATGCAAATTTTCAACGGGATCTGGTTGTTGGTCTTTCGAACGAGGAGTAAATCTAAAAAGTTTAGGGGACTTACATTCACTCGAACTTCCAGATGGCATCGGTGACATATGGCGTTTCTGAGCTCTCTCAAGTTTTGTATTGTTAAACTTTATTCTGCACACATTATGGTACTTAGCATTTTTCTTTTTCATTGTGCTTTAAATACCATCTCCGTTATTTCATCGCGAATATCTAGATGGATAGGGAGTGAATTGAAATCATGAAAAAGAGGGATATGTTTGCCCAACATTGTATATCCTTCATCTGACGTCTTCCTGACACAAACAACATTTTGTCCAATCTGTTGCCCAACTATCTGCTGAGGAAGCTGACAAGCAAATTCTTTTAGCCATTAAAAAAAAACAACTATTATATAGATAAACTAAAGTGGTCAACAATGCAATGATAGAACAATAACGCAAATATTGTCAGAGTAAAAAATCTTAACTCTTCTGATAATCAAGTCGAGGGATTATACTTTTATCACCTGTATAGCACTTTGTTGTATGGGATACAACTGAATTCGGTAAACCAAATTAAAAGTTGGCCTACATTCAGCCCGATCGTTCATCCAGTATCATTTAACTCCCGTACGATCTGTACACCATCCAGAGGTATAAGCACCTCCTCTTTGGCTCTGCTCTCCCGCGTTATCACATCCTGTCGATTCAGGTACGACTCCATGACTTAATAATTGAGGCAATCATGGAGTATTTGGGAGCACTTTAATCTTATAAAGCTTATACTGGACCCCATGCCGAGATAATCGGCAGTGATTTCTACCAGTGTGCCCTGTTAGTGCAAATAAATCACTCTCTGAAAGACTTCTAGTGATAGGTGATGAACATTAAGTAATGCCTGGTAATAACGTTTGACAAAGTCATGCAACATCACAATGGACGGATGCCAAGTAATGGTTAAGGAAGAACGTCAAGTAAAGACTAAACATTAAGAATTGAATGGATAAGGTCCAAAGACCAACCCCAAACAATGATTCAAATTAATAACTATCAATGTACTACGATTTAAACATTGACGTGTGGTAGTATGGATCAAATGTAAGATATTTATAAAACCGGAAGTGAGTTATCGACCGATATTTGACCGGAAGTGATGTTTTATTACTTCAATAAGACAAATAAACCTTCATTCACTCAATCTAGTATCATTTTGAATAAAAAAACAAGCAATATGTATGCAAAAGGGAACATACATTTGATGTCTTTTACCTTGATAGACGTCATTTTGAAAATCAAAGATGGCCGCCATGATCGGATGGATTTTTTTCGTGGCTACCCCCTTAATATGATTACATACACCTAAAGGCATGTTATTACAAAGTTTCATGCTTATATCACCATTTGCATGATTTTTGTGGTAAGCTGCTCAACTAAATAGTTAGGGCCAATAATATATGCCATTCATGATGAAAATCATGGAAATTTGGAATGCCACTGTGAAACCAATTTTGATCTGAATAATTCAGTAACGTTCATTTTTTCAGTCAAATTTCAGACTTATCCACTGCGTTAAATTAAGTACTGTTCAAACAGTTCGCTTGCAGTCAATTCCATACTAATAAGTAGTTTGTCTGGCAATTCAGTATGATGTTGAAGCGTTCAGGTAAATAACAACTACTGAAAAATCTGAACAAAGTCTGAACAGATCTTAGTTGACTGCAAACGAATTGTCGGAACTGTACTGAAATAACCGCAGAGGATAAATCTGAAAATTCAAAGCATGAAAATTACATAGAATTAATTTTTCAGTCTTTTAAGAGCTGTTCAGATCAAAATTACCTTTTCAGATCAAAATTCATGTACTAGGGTGATGAGGGTATATTCGATAAGGACAGAAATGTTGTCTTGCTACAGGCCACCTATGGAATGAATAGAGTTGTAGCAAAAGTTCTTGACATGTAGAGAGCGTGGCAATCTTTTTACACGAAACATCGAATTTAATTAACGTCCTATTCTGACCGGACGTGACTGTGTACTTTTGCATCCACACAACCAATGGGACGCCCCATTTGACAAGGGATTTAATGATGGTTGGAAGATGAGGAGAATGACCATATTACTATTTTCCAGTCACCTTTTAAGGCAAAATGGATAAGACAATGACCCTGTTACTATTCTTGGGGATTATGTATATTTTTCAATACTAGTATCTGATTCACAACTTTGACGAAACGAATGTTTGGATCCGAGAAAAGTAATACACATTTTGAGAGAGAGTTTCTGTCACACCATTTAATATTAAATTCTTATTTTTTTTGTCATGTTGCATGACGCGAACGAATTTTCAATTATTTTATCGTAATAAAAAATAAAATTTAAACATATCAAAAAAATTGTTCAAGAGATAACAGTTCAATTGCAGCTGTGATTAGTTCTTATCTGTACTCAGACCGATTATAAACTGTTTAAAGGTAGAAACGTCAGGGTGTAACTCTTCAAATCGTTTCTAATATACACCTAGAAACATCTGTTCTAGGTAACAGCAATTCTTAGGTAAATAAGCTCTCTTATCGGGATTTAGATTAGGGGCTATTAGATAGATGTTCCTGGTAAATGTTATTTTTAGATACAAGGCAGTTAAGAGAACAAACGGGTGAAATTTAAATTGTATTCTTCCTGCAAGTTTATAACTAGCTTTTGACCAAACATATTTTTATTTGTATGTAATAATTCTACAGTGGTGAAGATATATCTTTCTTATGTATCCGTAATTATAACAAAATAATGTCAATAATAGATATTCTTATGAAAGATAAGTATTAAGACCGAGGCCGAGAAACACTTTTGTGATGTTTATTATAGGTAACTCCACTTTATTTTTACATCACAGTTAAGCTTTTATATTGAAGGTTTAAGACAATACTCACCAAATGTAACACGTCTTGAATAGAATTTGCAATCTGTATGGTTATCTTTTACAAGGTTTCGATTATGGTATAAGAAATGTTTTTCAATTCAGAACTGTTCATGAGGAAATTTGATTCCTTTAATTCAGAGTAAGAATCATCGACTAGAACTAAGCAAAGTGAAAATCTACTTTTGGGAACCTGTTGAAATAAAAAAAATGAAGTTAAACAACAATTCCATGAACGGTATATCAACAAATTACGAGAACTTCTATCAACTAAAGACGCAGATTTGTTAAGCAAACATATATATTATTCGCGTCTTACAATAATCTTCCATATAAGTTTAAAAGTTGTAGACAGTTCACTTGTTCAGTACTAGTGCAGGCCTATCTAAGTTCATTTAAACCGTCCTTTATATTCACGAAATTATATGTGCAGTTTTTATTTAAGTTTAAACTCACTTAAAATTTGTTTCGATAGATACATTAAGTAATTAATAATATCATACCTCAGTGTGTATTTTTTTCCCCATAAATTTATAGAGGATTACTTTTACTAGGTATTAACCTTTTACTGGATGCAAGCACTTTCTCGTTAAAAGGCTATTGACAGGTTGATACTTTCAAACACTATCTTTGAAAGCAAACAGATTTCCGTAAAAAGACTGTTTACTGGTAGCAAACATTTTCCCGTACTCTCTGTATTATAAAACACTTATTTACTGGTTATTGTCCTGATAACGGTTCAGTTCATTCTAACAGTGTGTTCTTATATTGTGCTGGTACACCACTGTCCCAGGTTAAGGGATGGTCGCGCTCTGTATGTGCTTGTCCTGAGTCAGGAACCTGTAATTCACTGGTAGTCATTGGTCGCTGTCTACAATATTTGTTTTTTGTTTAAACTTTGTCCTAAATGAATAATCAAATACAAATATACGTGAAGGAGTACTTATTAGTGTACTTACTGGACCCCAAAAAAATTCAGCATGAAGAATAACATTACTGCTACCATCATTAACCAATCGACCACGTGGCTTTATAAAAAACTTTTTGTAGGTCTTATTACCACTATGTCCCCTGCAAATAATTTTAGTGAATACATATAACTTGTTTTTATAATTAAGCTGAAGCACAAAAAGTATTATGAAAATAGAATCCAGAAATAATCAATAGAACAATTACATTGTAAAATAACTTATGTTACTGTAAACAAATAACTTACATTTTCATGGATTCTATCATATTATCAGCATCCTCTTCCCTCTCAAGAACGCTTATATCAACTAGAACAGGATCATCCTCAAATGTTACAAATTGAGCATTTGGTAAGAGTGGGTGCATCAGCACTCTTCCTGTTCTATCAATGATAAAAGCATAAGAATATTCATTTTCAGTAAAATATTCCACCTCTGTCAACAACTTGCTTATTTTAACGTCTGTACATATTACACCGTGAAGACTTGAATTGAGTTTAACCGGGAGGCATAATGATGTAATCAAACCTGCAAATGAAAAAAAAAAAAACAACTGTACGAATGAGACTCCAGGTTTATATCAATTTTCTTTACAGTACATTTATCTCTCTCGATCTAAAGAGATATAAACAATAAAACTCAAAACGATTCATGGGCCAGTATTTTGAAGTCAAAGTATCGTTTATACGTATAAAAAGACTTCCCGTTTTTAAAATAACCTTATAAAGTTCGGTATTTTTATGTTACAATTTTCATAAATCTTGATCAGTAATTTTTAAACCCAAACATTTGAAAAACGTTCTTTTAAACAACAGACTCCAAAGTATATTTTTAAACGTGTGGAGGTCCATAATTATATCTGACAAAATCAAACGTTAGACTGTATCAACCAACGGAACGAATGGATACCAACTATCATAGTCCTAATTTGGTACCGGTATTATCCGACGATAACGGTGTTTTAAACCAGGATGTAAGGCATTTGTTTATAGTTTCGTTATAATAACAAAACTGGATGAACAACCCAAACAGACGTAATATGTTAACGTTACAATAATTGGGATCATGCAACTCAAACTGTTTATACATGTATCACAAACTTACAACACAATTGCAAAGCCAAGCATGTATAAGTCTTGGACATATTCTTAGATACATGATTTATTTATTAGTTGTTATTAGTTTTGAACTAACTTTCAGTAACTGCGAGTAATTTCAGATCTGTTCTTTGTGTCTTTTGTGTTTTGTAAGGTTTTCTTGTGCTTTGTATCAATCTGATGAGTTGAATCTTTTTCGCTTAAATTAGATAGTTTGTTCTTATGTTGTACTGTAATGCATACAGGTGAGAAGTTTTGCTAGCTATAAAACCAGGTTTAATGTACCATTTTCTACATCAGAAAATGCCTGTACCAAATCATGAATATGGCAGGTGTTATTCATTCGTTTGATGTGTTTGAGCTTTTAATTTTGCCATTTGATTAGGGACGTTCCGTTTTGAATTTTCCTCGGAGTTCGGTATTTTTGTTATTTTACTTTTTACAACACTGTTCCAGGTTTAAAGGGGGGTGTTGGCAAACTTCAATATTAAAAGGATTAATTGACGAAGGTGTAAACAACACAGTACAGGATACTCTATCCACAGTTGCACGATAAAACATTCAAAAACGAACCTTATATTATTCCCCATATCATCATATATCATTTTCTATTACACATTAAACTGATTTTACACAATACAAGGATTGTGTAGCTTATTATGGCACCCTCAACAGAGTTGGGGTGACATATTGTTATTCTACGTTTCTTTTTCGTCTTATTATTTTTCTTTCACTTTGCTTTTGTCTGGCTTATATCTGGGAAATGTATGAACCAATGTTAATGGAACTATACCAAAATATCAACCAGTATGTGTAGATTTGCAATCGGGGTCTGTCATTTCCAAGATGGCTTACGTTTCTATGGATATAGCAAAAATGTCAAAAAAATCAATATGCTCAAATGTTATTGAAACTTCACACAAATATTTACTGGCATACGTAGATGTGCCATTTGATTTTGGAATTTCCAAAATGGCCGCCGTTACCATGGATACAGTAAAAATGATAAAAAATAAAAATGCTCCAAATTTCATGAAAATTTACAGATAGAAGTTTTTTAATGTATATTTGTGCATTCACAGTTTAATATTTTCAAAATGTCTACAGTTTAATGGCAATTCGGAGGACAAGGGTGTCATCCGCTATTGCTAGCAATTGCAAATCTAGATTTATTTTATATTATACTCCATCATATTTAAAATGGATCCATGATATAATCAAATGTGGAATTTTGATTTTGTTGTTTGAACCATCGGGAAAAAATATTTACCAACTCCAGAAAATAGGTCAACATAAGGAACAGAAAAGATAGATGATGTCTCTTTTTTGTCATCATAAGGTAGATCCAGGTAAAATTGTGCCATGACTGTTGACAGCAACGTTCGGTTCCCAAGGTTAAAAAACTGGAATTTCCCCGTCTAAAAGGCATAGAAAACATTATAGAGTTGTGATTAGTTGTTACATAATTAAACTATGGCGTTTTGTTTTTTAATTTTCATGAACATTATACACATTATAAAAAATTAAAATATTTTGATATTTTCCTCAGTTTCGACATTTGTTAACAATGTGTAGAAAGAAAGTTTAACGATCTTGTTTGAATTTGAAAATACTAGAAACAATTAAGCAAGGAACACGATATTGCAGAATATAACATAACGAATAAGCGGGAAAACATTTTAGTAGCACGTTTGAGAGCCTTATATTATTATTAATGTTTAAGAAATAAACAGTCACAACTGATAGGTTTGACGTTATTATACTCACTTTAATTGAACCATGTGTTGTATTTAACAAGACCTGGTTGGCCATTCCTTTCAGCTGGATCATTGCTTCTTTTTCTAATATTTAAGAACTTGACTTGAACACACATTTGAGATATCGTTATTTATGTTAAAATATTGAAACATAGGTATTTTCATTTATATTTCTAATAAAGATATATTCAATCTATCTGTTAACTAAACAATAGTAATTATTGACCATTACTATTAATATTATATTGTTTGAAAAGCTACTGAAAATAACCGAATTGACTGCAAGCAAATTAGCTGAACAGTACTTCATTGGATAAGGCCGAAAATCGACTGAAAGACTGAATATTGTTGACTAATTTAATGTTCAGAATTTTCAGAAGAAGTTAAGATTACAATGACCGTTAAAGGCTAAAATCTATTTACTAGTGAAAGTAATTAGGATTCAGTCTCGTTTGGGCAGTTCTTCTTAAAATTCGCTGCATGAGTAGCAAATCTTATTTTTTGTGTTTTTCGAATAAAAAATTAAGGCATTATACTTGTATCCTTTGTGTATTTCACTGTCATAACGTGCTTTTTTACCCTTCTATCTTTATTAGTAAATAGTAATATTTATTAAACGTACACGAAATATATCGGGCTGCTAAGCTCTAAACAAATCTAAAATATACTTGATGATGCTGTGTGCAGATATATGTCTATTATCAGACAACAAATGTTACAATTTACAGAAAAAACTTCCCAATTTCATATCAAATTCATGAATTTGTTCTGCATGTATTATTTCGAAATATTTTATAACCATTGATTATCAAAGGATATTGCTAATGGCATATTTAAATGCAGTCCTAGTTTAATGTGTACTTGTTTGTTTATTGTTATAAATCTCAATGAAACTACATGTATCAACTTAATGAACATATTAAAGTCACTGATTCTTTATCATTTTAGTCATTTAAGCAATTATATTAGCTTTTAACTTTTCTTGTAGTATCCCTCCTTTAAATATCTATAAAGTATAGTCTTATAAAGTTTTGAGACAAACAGGAAGAATATACCGAAAAAATGTGGTAACATTAAATTTATACCGTCACCAATAAGATAAGTAAAAATTCTGATTCTGTTGTCATATTTCTTGTTTTCATCTCTAATTACTTCTCTTGGATCTGCATTTCCTGTTGACCTTCCATCACTTAGAAATAAAATTACCTGCTCTGAAAGATATAATTTAGTCATTTAAGTGTATCTGTTTTAATTTCGCATACGTGATTGAAATCAGCATTTTTGTTTTATAAAACATTTAACTTTTCAAGATATTTTAAAGAGATTTTGATTGTTTAAATTTATATTTCAGTACGCCACTTATCTTACGCTGTCCTCAGAGACGAAACTTCAACCAGAAGTCACCACTGCTTAGCTGCTTTTAAATCATCAAAATATACCCGGCTTACAAAGCCATTTGCATGTTTCGTCTTCACACGACTATCCATGGCGCTCTAATCAGTTCGAAGTTCAAAATTATACAAATGTGTGCTTAACTAGGCGTATGCAATCCATTCCTAACAAAATATTGAATATAATTGAAAAGGTCTTCCCTGATCAGACATGTCAGTGGAAATTCCTTAGAGTCATTTAGATGGGTTCAGACCAAAAACCTCGGACACAAAAATTAACACGGTGTTAAATGCAATGTGTACATATAAAAAAAACTTGCTTAACCTTTTCACAAAAACAGCGAGAAATGTGAATTATATGTTTTGGTTATACTCGTCACAAAAGTAACCGCATATGTAAACATTTAAAAGCAATATAAACGTTGAAGAATGCAGTTTGATATGATATCCTTGGAACCTTCAAATGGATTAATCATTCGTATGATCAATTGACAATACAATGCCCTCCTCTTAAGTAAACTAATCATAGACACCAGGATTACAATTGTGTATGCCAGACGCGCGTTTCGTTTACAAAAGACTACTGTGTCTAAACTACCCCGGCAAAACATGTTTAGACGCAATGGTATCTAATATCTGGTACAGTGACGGACCATCAACAGACAGAGAAAAGGTAGGTTTCTTTTTATTTATTTGTTATCTTTATGATATTGAAGAATATAAATACATATATAACTATTTCGATTGTGAGATGTAATATTCTCAAAAACGTTTCTAGATTAACGGAGAAATAAGTAAAAATGCACGTCAAGATGATGACCTAAATGAACCTTGCATCGAATTTGTTTAATCTCTCGTTAAATTATGCACATTGTACAGAAAGAAAGGTACGGAAAGAAAGATATTGACATGAAGATTGCAAGACTAGTCACTTTGAGCACCTCAGTACTTGTATTTCTGTGCATGGAAAGAAAGAAATGGGTAATGTGAAAATGGAAGGACCCGGTTTTGTCAATGTTGTTTACTACACAATGACCCGGTTTTGTCTTTGTATATGAACCGGTTTTGTTCCATTTTGAAACCACAAATTTATGAAAACTTGGAAAAGCAACGTTAACACGGATCTGAATATTGTCCATCGAAAGAAATTCAATATACATTTATTTATAAGTAAAAAGTATGTTATGCATGACAGTGGTTTAAAAATTTTTTTTGTTACATATGACATATACCAAGTAAAATTAGAAAAGAAAAAAAAAAGTAGTAATTTGTGATCTTCAGCATATCGATTAATTGAATGTTATAATCTCTTTTATATTAAATGTAATTGCGACTCAGTTTATACAAAACCTATAGTTTGATTTCATTATATGATTGTACTACACACTTTTCTTTAAACTATAATATATCAACAAGATAAGTCATATAATGTTCGGTTGCAAATACAAATATATGTGTAAGCTGTCGGTTAAAAAGTTTAAATGCTCGTTAATTAAAATTATTTCAGTGACCAATGAAAAACACTTTGGGTTAAACATGTTGAAAGACAACCTGCGATTGTATCCTTGAATAAATATGTATTATAAGATAATAGTATATGTTTATTAAATTAAATGTGTGTTGATTTTTCTCGTACAAGTCCAGTGTATGTCATTGATTTCAATTGTTTTATTAATTTACTGTCCTCATTATTTCATATTTCTGGTTTTGTATTGTTCATAAGTCATTTACCTCTATGCGATATATCCACAGTATCGTCCGAAGAATCAAAGTACCTAAATGCAGCTCTCAAAGCATCTGTAAAATTGCTATCTGCGAATTGAGATCCTGAGATTGGAGAAACAAATGCCTCCATTTTGGCAACGTTTGCTTTTGTTGCAAATGCTAGTTTGTAATCATAGCAGGGATGAAAGTTTTCTCCTATAGGTGTAGTTGCACTCCTGTCAAATATTACTATACCAACCTATTAATGACAATTTAATATTTTAAGTACGTTCGTCTTTTCTGATTGTATTTGCCTTTAAATATACATTCAATGCACGTTGTGATCCACCAGTATTATTAACATTGTATCAAAAAAGTAAAACAACTAAAATATCGACCTCCGAGGAAAATTCTAAACGGAAAGTCCCTTAGCAAATGCCAAAATCAAAAGCTCAAACACATCAAACGAATGGATAACAACTGTCATAGTCCTGACTTTGAACTGACATTTTCTTTTGTAACAAATGGTTGATTAAACCTGCATTTATAGCTAGCTAAACCTCTCACTTGTATGACAAGCGCATAAAATCTAAGACTTATCCTTCTAGATATATTTTGTATGTACCTATGATCCTTCCAGAAGGTCATCTCCTATTGACAACCAAATGTTTCTTCATCAGTTTAGTTGCCCGAATGTATAGATGAAAATGAATGAAGGAACAAGGGTTTACGTCATTAATGATACAGTTACTCTTATAATACTAAAAAAATTGCAATCCGCTTAAATGCCGACTTAAAATATCATATCCCAACATATAAGGAATATATTATACTCTACACTGATAAAAAATTTCCACTAAGTATAACGAGAGGTCTGACGATGGTTATGAAATAACAAGCCCCCCTCCCCCTCCCAAAATAAAATGTACCTTCTTAATCAAAATAAAATACTCATTTAGAGGTCAAGAGTTCACTTATATGAGTTCATGCATTTATGCCAATTTTGCAATTTTTAATATGCTTACATTTAATGCTTTTTACCCTTTTGTTTTGCTTTATATTGTAAATTCTAATTACAATATAAAATGTTATATTTGTTTGGTACATATTTTTGTGTTAATTTTTACACACGGCTATTTTAAATACTATCAAAATGTTATCTTGCAAGTGTTTGCAATGGTTTCCCTCTGCTTAAAATGTTTTAAAAACAATTGAATGTAGATTTTTATTTTGTTTTATAATCAATGTGAAAAAATTACATGTAGGGGCCTTTTATCATAATAACTGACTATATGATATGTTTCCCCGCATTGTTGAATGCCATATGGTGACTCATAACACATCTGTTTTATATTGTTTCTAATAAGATACATATTAATTGATTAAGTCATACATTTTCTTACAATTACGAAATTATGAAAACAAATTCATCTATCATCGGTACAAAACTATACGCTCATACATAGCAAACTCATAGATAACGAGTCATTTATTGAAAGATTTCCACTTAAAAAACTGAGACATGTGTTGTTTGTTCACCACATATGAATAATAGCCAACAATAAATCGTACGGGGCGATTGATCATATGATTATGATACAGTACACTACAAAATATAATATATAATAAGCTAGTCTAAAAGGGTACAACATCACCAAATAAATAGTAAAATCATGAACAACTATTAAATATTTCGGATAGCTAACTATAGGTTTCATAACGAGTGAGAATTGGGCATCGCTTTATATCAACTCGAGTTATTTAATTTCAATATAATAATAAACGAGCCTTCGGCGAGTTTATTATTACTATTTAAATTAAATAACGAGAGTTGATATCAAGCAATATCCAATTATCACAAGTTGTTAAACCTATTTCTCTTATGGTCAACACTTTCATTGTGTTGAATTAAAAATCCCGTGAATCGTTGATCTAGTCTTTTGCACATACCAGTTTGACGTCAATGTCCTGCTCCGATGTCAAACTTTAACATCAGACATTTTAAAACTTTTTGTACGCTTCGCTTCAGAATGTAAAAAAAATTGACAAAATGAAGATTTTCAGGTGGAAAGTGTGTTTTGTATATTATTGAAGAAATCACATATGTCCGTTTCCACAGACGAAATGTTCATCGTCTTAACCTTCGACAGTAATCAATGACCTAACAAATAGCCAATGGAAATGTCGTAATATCGTCTCATGAAAAAGCCAATCAAATTAACGCATATTTTCATATCACTTTAGCGTATCACACTCCGTGCAGTGTGATACGAGAAATATTTCGTCATGCAAGAAATAGATAACAGGCCACAACCATAAGAGAATATCCTTCATCAGTAAGATGTCAAATGATTCTTATCTTGACATGTGGTAGTTGAACTGATATAATAATCTTGATCGTTATACAAATCATCACGAATGAATACGATGTTAAATTTTTTCAATATTGATATTTGGGAGGAGGAATAAATTCCTTAAAACTGTGAGAGTCCTGTACTGAAGCCCGAGTTACAGGAAACAAGTGATGGCAGAGACTTATTTTATGTTTTTTTCATTTATGCCTTCTGGGGAAACTTTCCTTAACTTTCTTATCCAAAAGCTTTCTTGGGCAAGTCTGTTGGCCCTTATCCAACCCTCGTTGTGGTCTATGATAGTGCTCGTAAGGTTTATGAGATCAGCTAGTCGTGTTATTTCAGTTTGACTACCACATGTCAAGATAAGAATCTTTTGACATCTTACTGATGAAGGATATTAGTTATCCGAAATATTTAATCTTTGTTCATGATTTTACTATTTTTTTTGGAGATGTTGTACCCTTTTAGACTTGTGTATTATATATTATATTTTGTAGTGTACTGTATTATATTTATATGATCCATCGCCTCGAAAGATTTATCGTAAGCTATTATTCAGACATTTTATATATATATAAGCTTTCCCTAACCTGTCGCTGGGCATTACTCGAGTGAATGTTCTGTTCAATCACTAGGATTTTCATGCGGTTAAAGTCATCTCTCTCTCTCTCTCTCTCTCTCTCTCTCTCTCTCTCTCTCTCTCTATATATATATATATATATTATATATATATATAAAGGACCAACCAGCAAATTTAATATGTACCAGATCGTCTAGAATAGACGATACTGTACAGATAAGGAAAAAATTAAATAAATCCAAAGATTTGCACAACGGTACTAATATAAGATGGTAATATACGAAGATGATGTTATAAAATCGTCTTGACAAATATTTCTGCTTCACAAATAGCATTCGTCAGTGTCAATAATTTTAACAAAACTAATTGTATGTGTAAAATAGCTCAACAATACAATTAAGTTTTGGTCTATTGATTTAATTCCAAATCTCGAACATCATAATATAAAACAAAACTCAATACTCAATAGACATGACTGTGTATATATACATCCAAAAATGAGTGTAATATAAAACTGCTAGTATCTCTTATTGGTGTCGTTTTGATGATGTACATTTAGTTCCTTTATCCAAAAGCTTTCCCGAATCTGTCGCTGGGCATCTCTCCAGTGAATGTTCTGTTCAATCACTAGGATTTTTATGCGGTTAAAGTCATCAAGTTTGTGACCCGACTGTCTGAAATGCTGACTAACCGGGAGACGTGGTTTCTTAGAGATATCACTCCTATGGCCATTGAGACGTTTGTGGAAAGGCTTCTTTGACTCACCAACATATTGGAGACCACAAACCGAACATTCTAGAATGTAAATAACATTCATGCGTTTGCAGGTCACATTGCAAAATATCATATAGTTATGTTTGGTTTCCTTACTGTGAAAAGTTGATGAGTGATGCATCGATCTGTAGGCAGCATTTGCATCGTTTTTCATCACAAGAACGACATATGAATGGAAAAGAAACCTAACGAACACAAAAATATGGTAAACTGATATTTGTATATATATCATGCTAAAAATGTATAACAACTCATCAAATGAACTCGGTTTGAATTAAGTTGAAATAAATCAAACAAAATATTACCCTATCGTCTTCCTTCAATGTCTGTATAACATTACTGACAGCTTCTTTAGCGATCACCATTTTTGTTTTATCAGGAACTCCAGATGGTTGTACCATGGAAGAACTCGTATCCAATACTATGACAACATCTTTATCTTCCGGATACGCAGCAGCCGTATAAGATGACCTAAGAAATCAAGACCATATTGACCTAAAATGATTTCTGTCATTGAAGTGTCTATTGTTACGGTCAGATAATTGTGACACACATCAAACCAGAATGAAACTTACATTATTTTGTTCGATGTTTTACGCAAATTGAGGATCGTTTCTAATTGATACCGATATCACAAATCTAGTGAAAAGGGTTAACTATGATACATACACATGTTATAGAGATTAAGAACTGTATTTATCGAAAGTGGTGGAAACAAAGACAAACAGCACTGTGCGCGCCATTGGTCTTCTCAAAGTTTAAGAATTCAAATTCTCACAACAAAAGCTGAAACCAGCAACGTTCAATATTTATCCTTCTTGTTGATAATAAAAAAAAACCTCACACTCTTTATCTGTCTATTAGGTTTTTCAAAGGAAACTGCATTACTGATAAAATTAATAAAAGTTTTACAAAAGATGTTTGAAAAAGAGAAGCGAAAGATACCAAAGGGACATTCAAACTCAGAAGTCGAAAATAAACGAAGAACGCCATGGCTAAAAAAGAAAAAGACCAACATACAAACAACAATCACAAAACACAAAAAAGAAAACTAACGATTAAGCAACACGAACCCCAACAGAAACTGGGGATGTTCTCAGGTGTCCGAAGCATAAGGAATGTTCTTATTTATATACCTTAGTCAACGTATGGGGAACTTGATTCGGGGGAGATGTTATATGATTAACTGCAAATGAAACAACTATCTAAAATAAAATAAAGAAGGATCGAAAAAGCTACTAGTAACTATGAAGACTTTTTGCTGATTGTTTGTTTGTGCATGTTTGTGGTAAATAAGATAGATACGTTAATAAAAATACGCTGAGAAAAGCCTCTACAATATAAAATATGCGCAACACACAGCACCAGTCATATACTTACGTGAAGCGTGGATCAAAATTTATACATTGCTTAAATTTGTTTGCGGGATAAATCACGGAAATTCCCTCTGTAGTACTATAGTGCTGCCACAACACGTTTGTGTTGTTTTGATAGTTTGTCTTCATTGTTTCTGTGATAACATGTGTTGGATACTTCAGATTGCTATTGGTGATTCGGGATTTGGTATAGCATGCTGTATTTAGATCCACCTGAAAAGAGAAAAAGATTGATTGAATTGTGTTGGCGTAACTTCTAGTGGCAAATATTACATTCATTTTCAGGACGTTACTATACATGCGATACGTAAGTTCTACTTATTCAGATCGACCAGGAAGAAAGGCTGGACTAGATTTCTTCTGTTACCTATTCTGACATCGGACTCGGACTTTTTTTAAGCTCAGCTTTACAGTGCGTATTGCTGTGTGTTTGTTTATTCTATATTGGATAGAGGAATGGGGGAGGGTCGAGATCTCACAAAACAAGTCCAAAATCCCCGCCGCATGTTTGCAACTGTCCCAATTTAGAAGCCTCTGGCTTTTGGTGGTCTTGTATATTTTTTTTAATTTTAGCTCATTTATATGTTTCGCAGTTTAGTGTGACGTTCAGTTTTATTGAATTAGTACACATTATTGTTTAGTGGCCAGCTTAAGCCCGAATCCGGCTGGGTAATTCTTTTGCTGCATTCAATACGAATTGGTGGACTTGGGCTGTTTTCTGCTCTTCGGTCGGGTTTGGTGTCTCTTTGACACAGTCCCCTTTTCCATTCTCCATTCAATTTTAATGTTTTCATAGTTAACGCTTTGATTTAGATGCTAACATACCTTTGTAGAAATAGATAGTCTAGTTCTTTTTCTCACAATTTGATGTTTCATCATGTAAAGAATGACAACATATAAGAACATACCTTTGTCTGAAATTCAGGTGCGTATGATAATCTATCGTCTGGTAAGGTACAACACTCCGGGAGATCCGTATGGACGTTGTCGGGTTTGTCTGCTTGTTGTATATTGTCTTTAATGTTATTAAGAACTTCATTCAAATCCGTCAACGAGGAATTCAAACTGGCTTGTATCTATGAAGACGCGAATAACATAATATAATGCCACAGAAAATAATATTGTCACAGTGAATTGTTTAAGCTCGATGCGGTAGAAATACGTTTTGTAGTATTTCAAATATTTAACATATAAAGCGTACATAGTTGCGAAACTACCACAGCAAATAACGATTCGTGACCAATAGTTTTTTGCGTAACGTCCAGTGGTAAACATATCATACATGTTAATGCTGATAACAAATGCACACATTATACAATAGCTAGGTTCTTTCAAAGGCAGTCAACCGGATGGAAGGCTGGAAATTTGGAGTAATACTGGTAAATGAGAATATAAATTGGATAGGGTAATTTATCCTTGCAACAGGCTACCTACGGACCCCTCAAACAGATGACTGGACGTAGACGCAGTAAAGGTAATTAAACATCACCTTATCTCCATGATATCTCTAATAATGACCTTCTGTAATTTATAAAAAAAGCCCCGTGTAGTATTCATCACACTAGCACAAAGCTTTATTCCCTACCCACTCAAAAGTTGATTTTAAGTATAACTTATGTTTGAAACCACTGTTACAAACACCCATTCAAACCAATACAGACTTACAGCTATCATTTCAGATATTGTCAGTCACAGATCAGTTGGAACTGGAAAATATAAAAAGGAGAAAGATCCTTTCTTAAACTTTCCATGCCAAAAAAGGTCTCGATATCATGAACCTGGGCAATATCCTTAATCATTAATCAATTCATTGGAAAATAACTGCTTATATTTGTATTTTGTTACCAAAACACATTTTTATATCATTACACTCAGGTTCGACCGCCTAGTTTTCGTAACAGTATATATCTCGCAGTTGATACGATATTCCAGAGGCTGCATTTCCCATCATGATGTCCTTTATAGACGTCACAGATGACGACTGATATGTTCAAATTGTTGTTACCATAATCCCGTCCTATTTTTCCCAAATGTGACCGACTGAATAAGACTTCTCACCGGGTTTGTACTTACATGGGCAGCTCGACGGGTGCCATATGTGAAGCAGGTTTTGCTTACCCGGAGCACCTGAACAACCCCGGTTTTTCGGTAGAGTTCGTGTTGCTCCGTCTATAGTTTTCTCTGTTGTGTTTTTGTGTACTGTTGTTTGTTTGTTCGTCGTTTTTTGTATTTTGCCATGGCAATGTCAGTTTGATTTCGACTTATGAGTTTGAATGTCCCTTTGGTATCTTTCGCCTCTCTTGATGCAAGGGCTCTTTACGTTCAAAGAACGTTTTAATCTCTTTAAACGAGGATGTATGACCCCATTCTGACCAGAAGAGGCTGAGAATTAATACATCGTGCACATTCACACGGACGCCAAACTTTATTCTGCCGGTCAAAAGTAAACATCCCGGGGATTAATCAAACATAATATATAATGTTTCAGCTCAATATATTTGTTTCTCTGCCTGTACCAGAACAAAACTATGACAGTTGTTTTCCATTCGTTCCGTTGGTTGATATAGTCAAACATGTATTAAGGACTTCCCAATCTGTTAATTTGCCGTGGAGTTCGTTATTTATTCCATCCTTTTTTATTTGTTTAATTAATAGTCGGGAGTAACCTGTGATAAAAATACACTAATTCGTATCAAAAACGTTATTTTATTTTGACATTGAGGTATCTGCTATAAAGAAAAAATCATTTTTTAATGTGTCAAGCTAACTCTTTATGTAGCAATACATTACCAGTTTCCTATTGATATATCAGGTTTTATATTTTTAATCGAAAAAAGGTGTTAAATTATATGAGGCAGTAGTTTCATGGGGCGATAAACAGCTAAGAAACTCAACATAGAAACAAGTATACACTTTTCAGTTCAATAACTATCTCTATACAGTTCTTTCAACTTATTTATGTATTTTTCAGCTTACATTTTGAAGTAACTCACTCCCGGTATCAGTTTTTGTTTCATAAGGAAAATTGTTGAATTTTTCCTGCAATAAACACAAAAAATATGTTTATATTTCCTTACAAAAACATAGCAATATTTTTCATTTTTTTACTTAGTTTTTATACTGTAGTTATGTTTGATCTTATACTGTCAGTCAATACTCTTAATTCTACCTCCATTCAAGTTAGAAGCGGTTATTATTTTGAAAGGGGTCTGATTTTGATTTTCAAAATGTTTCACTGTAATACAAACATTTATGTTAAGAGTGTATATCATTGTCAATGTGTTTGTATGTTTGGTTTGGAAGTTGACGTTTTCTTGCCTTTAACTACAGTCCATGAATGGTAAAAATTCCCATATAAATGTGTATTGCATAATGGTGTATGACGGAATAATGTATAGTGTATTGTGCATGGAGAATAGAGTATGGTGCACACGGAACGTTGAATTAATCTAATTTAAGTTTCGTTTTAGAAAAAAAAGATATTATATATATTGCAATTTTATATTCACTAAACATGTTACATTCAACGTAATTTTGAATTTTGTGAATCAGTAAGTAGAAAGAGAATGGTGTATGGTGTAATTGTATTTGGTGTAAGTAGGAAGACTATTTCAAGAACTGTATACCTGTCATGTCACCTCTTAAAATGAATATATTTTAGTATACACGCGATTATTGACTCTTAAAGCTTCGGATGTTTGAATAAAATGTAATCACTAGTTGAACTATTTTGATCTAAACACTACAAGTACCCGGCCACGTCCACTCTGCGTTTTTGTTAGATGGATTTCTATTTGTATCCATCTGATGAATTAAGCCTTTTTTAACTGATTTGTATAGTTATTTCTTATGTTGTACTGTAACACCACAGTTACAGGTTATGAGGAGGGTTGGGTGCCCGCTAGCATGTTTAATCCCGCCCCATTCTATTTGTGCCTGTCCCAAGTCAGGAGCCTGTAATTGAGTGGTTGTTGTTTGTTGCTGTTGATCATATGCGTTGTTTGATTATTGTTTTGTACATACATTAGGCCGTTAGTTTTCTCGTTTGAATTGTTTTACATTTGTCATTTCTGGCCTTTTATAGCTAACTATGCGGTTTGGGTTTTGTTCATTGTTGAAGGCTGTACGGTGACCTATAGTTGTTAATTTCTGTTACATTTGGTCTCTTGTGAAGAGTTGTCTCATTGGCAATCATACCACATCTTCTTCTTTATGGGTCTTAAAAGACTGAACAGTAAATCATTACGTCGTTTATTGTTGTTCTCTGTCAAGTGGCAAAAATGTCATGCATGTTCAGGACATATTAACAATAAAAACCAAAGGTGAGTCCTGTAATAGAAGTCCACCGGGATGAATGGTTTGAAATATTTACTGCCACTAACAACTGGTTTTGTATTGGGTAAGGACTGACATTTTGCCTTGCAACTGACCACTTACAAACCTCTAAAAAGTTATTGCTATGGTTTAAGGCCCCTACTTTTTCGTCGGTCGTAGCTGCGTATTTATACATCCCGCACTAGCATCATGAGCATATGTACGCCCCGTTTTGGCCAAGAGTAACAATACTTCTATTCCTAAGTCACCCGAGGGTTCCGTTAGGTCGACATATTGACATCTCGTGTCCGCTCTATTAGTAACTAGGGGCATCTGTTGTCGAGTAGTCTAAGAATTTTATCTAATGACCAGTAGCCTGTCAATACTGAGTTCAAACTCTACTCGTTGCAAGTTGCGTTTTACTCAACCAATCCCCTATTTCATTTTATTTTAGGTTTATTTCTTTAAGTTGACAATTTAAACGTTGTGTGTACCTTTCAGAATATCTTAATTCATATACATTTTCTGTAATAAATTTTTATTTCGTTTATATCAGGTAAACCCTATAATTTTGATGGCAATTTGTGTAAACAAATTGTCAATGAGGAAGATTTTAAACATTCTTATTTTTAAAACGGCAAATTTTTCGTGTTATTATTTAAGTTAATATTCAATCATGTATCGGGAAGTTGTTTTGGCATTAACATCTTTCTTTCAACAACCTAACAAATTGACATATGTTTCAATTATACGAAATTAAGCAGGTAGATGGCTCTCACAATATTTTGTTGTGGACATAATTGGGTTACAATTCTACTGGATAGATAATTATATAAATTTTTCAAATACACCGTATTTCCTTTCGAAAGAACAAACTTTGACTACTGAGTGTTTTTCTTCAAGGAAACTCATATGATCAGGTTGAAATTGTATTAAGGATGACTAGGGAATAGAAATACGGTCGCTCTTGGTCTTCTACCGACCGGCAGTAACGCCCTGGCCAAAGTGGGGCGTCCGTTTGACTGTGCGGGATATACAAGGACGCAGTCACGTCCTGTAAGAATGGGGAAGTTTAATGCCTAGGGAAGCGAGAGTGCCACACTCTTTGCACGTTAACAACCCTGGCAATAAATTTTTGAGGGGTCCGTATGTGGGCTGCTGCAAGGAACAATTTAATTCCGGACGGCCTCTTTTACAGAACCTACCTATTGAATTATTGTTAATTTGTTCTCGGCCTGAACATGTATGAAATATTTGCTATTGGACGTGTACCAACCAACAATTAATAATGAAATTGTATAATATACAGTATAGGTATTCCTCATTGTTGAAGTCGGTACGGTGACCAATAGTTGCTAAAGTCTACGTTAGTTGGTGGAATTGGTTGGTCTATGTAGTAAGGTTGTGTCAATGGCAATTATGCCCCATCTTCTAATTCTTTATTACAAAATGTAGTTAATTGAATTTTCCTGTGACTAATATATTTTTCCGATATATATGAAAAATGATTATAAACTTCAAATAAAAAACATAATTATGTAGTCGTATATTACGCATATCAAATTTGAGATTTGGCATGTCTGTGTGTACAACAATGTACAATCAACGTATAATAAATATAAATGTTATACCTGTATATAATTGACTCCAATGTCATTTTTTATCCTTTTCAATTCATTAGATAGCAGTGACCCATCTAGGGCTGCAATTAAAAATCTCTGATGGATACTAGTGAGCAGGCTCAGGATAAATAAACATTTTATCACGTCACGTGTGAATACGCTCATTTTATGCTTATCAATCTGTTAGTTTTGTTTGTTATTTTCTTCAATTCTTTGGCAATTTTAATCTAAGGCCTGAAAAAAAATTAAATGACACTGAAATTAAGATTCCTTTTGGCCCACACTTCATTTTATCTTGCTGGTGGAGTTTTTATTCCCCGAGGGTATCACCAGCCCAGTAGTCAGCACTTCTGTGTTGACATGAATTATCATTGATATGGTCATAATTATAAATTAACTGTTTACAAAACATTGAACTTTTTAAATACTAAAGCTTTTCTACCTCAGGAATAGATTACCTTAGCTGTATTTGGCAAAACTTTTAGGAATGTATGGTCCTCAATTCTCTTCAACTTCGTACTTTATTTAGTCTTTTTAACTTTTTTTGATTCGAGCGTCACTGATGAGTCTTTTGTAGACGAAACGCGCGTCTGGCGCAAATACAAAATTTCAATCCTGGTATCTTCGATGAGTTTATTTTGCTATCAGAAAGTAAAAAATGCTCCTTTTGGTTATAAAGCTCCTGACGAATTTCAGTAGATATACCTCCTTGGTTTCATTGATTGGGGCATTCCTAATTACATCAATACAAGCACTTCAGACACACTAAATTTACAAAGTATTAGTTTATCGTAAATGGCTGGAGGGAATGTTTGAATAGGTCGATTTGATATTACCGTAGATTTATTATAATTCGTTGAATACTAATTTTCTACGGCACAGGTGACCCACAAATTCAAATGTTCAACTAATTACAAATTTTCTATAGGCTTTGTACATTTTGTAGATATTGACAAAACCACAAAATAAAATATCCTCGAAAATGCTAGTTTTCCTTAATCCACGAACATTGATACCCACGAAAATAAATGAATTCATAAGTAGTTGAAATAAATCTAATTATTAACTTGAGAATTTCCAAATATTGTTGGATACATACAGGTTTGCTGATCCTAAATAAAATCGAATAGTCTTTTTATGTCGATAAAGACCATTTTTGTATTTAAACTATTAATACTTCCCTGGCTTTCAAATTTGAAGGTATCAGCGCTCATGATTAAATTTAATCCCGAATAGCACTTATGAAGCATCAAATTTATAAAGTGGTTATTTTCTATTTAAAGAAATTCTGAATACACTTAAGATTACGTGATAATGTTCAGTACAAAATGCCTTATTCAATTATAATTTGTCAGTTTTGATTTTAACTCGTTGTATATATTTGATGCGTACAATGTTAAACACTCAATAAAATAGACGAAGGTATTTAAATAAAGTACTTATTTGAACTTTCCGTCACATAGCTGTATTTAAATTATCTGTCTTTGTGGCGGGAAGATTTGGTCTCAAATTTCATCACTAAATTGAACAACAGAAGAATAGAAAAAGAAAAGCCTTAAATGCATCTCTCGTGTGTTTAGTTATTCTCATTATATTGTTTATGACACATTTTAGATAACATTTTAATAACCAATTACTAAACATGAGTTTGAAATTTGAAGATTCGAAAATGAAAATTAAATATTAACTTTTAAATGATAAGTCGGCGCTTTTGCAATAGGTCAAGCAAGTGGCTGCCTATAAATCTACATATCACCATTTAATATCTATACATGAGTTAAAATACGAAAAAAAAAAGATCTACATGAAAATCCCAGTAGTCATTTAGTCCAATCAAAAAACAAGAATCCATTTTCACAGACATATACAACTACAGTGTAAATGAAAAACATGGTTCAACATGTAGGTAAAGAATGTACTGATGCCTTTAGACTACCAATCGCCTAATGTACCACACATCGAAGAGCTAACGCCTTCATATTGACATGCTATGACGTATGGTACATTCGGCCACTGAGAGTCTTCAAGCATCGGTTTAGACCCAGTGATAATAAAAAAGTAGGTCTATTGATATCCGTTATACAGAGTTCCGATTTTTAAAATTTTTTTTAAACAAGAAAATATAATTTTAAAGAATAAAGATTTTGAAATTGAGAATGGAAAAGGGGAATATGTCAAAAAGAAAACAACCCGACCAAAAAGAAGAAAACAGCCGAAGGCCACAAATGGGCCTTCAACACAGCAAGAAAATTCCGTACCCGGAGGCGGACTTCATCTGGCCCCTAAATAAAAATGTGTACTTGTTCAGTGAAAATGGACGCCATAATAAACTCCAAAACATATAAATGAACTACAATTAAAAAAACATACAAGACTAACAAAGGCCAGAGGCTCCTGACTTGGGACAGCCGCAAAAATTTGGCGGGGTTAAACATGTTTTGTGAGATCTAAACCCTCCCCCTATACCTCAAGCCAATGTAGAATAAACAAACACACAGCAATACGCACAGTAAAACTCAGTTTAAAAGATGTCCTAGTCCGATGTCACAATAGGTAACAAAAGAAACTAAGCAAAATAACAATGATACATAAATTAACAAAGGACTACTACTAGTTACGGACATGCCAGCTCCAGACCTCAATTAAACTGATTGACAGATTATGTCTTCATCATATGAAAATCAAGTGAATCAATATTAATACAAAAATATGTCATCTTGTATGTTTACCTTTATAAGGAGCTAACAAATAATTTATGTATACGCGTTACAAGACTTAACGAGGGTCCATTTTAAATTACTGTTAGCGCTACAATAAACGTGTAGAGTAAAGAGGGTATACAAACGTATTTGCAAAAATACCGAACTTCAAGGAAATTTAACAAAAGAAGGAAAATCAACGTAACCAAACGCTCGATTATATCAACCAGTGGGACAATTCGAATCAACTTTCATATTCCTCACTTTGTACAGGTATTTTCTGAAGAAAATTGTTAGTTAAAGCTGGTTTAATAGCCAGCTAAACCTCCCTCTTGCATGAAAGTTGGTTATTGTTACCTTATATTGACAGAACAATGTTATCAACCCAATCTGGCATATTTGGTTAATGTGCCAATAATTGATATTCAGCCGTCATAATTCTGTAAACATGTACCAAAGATATACAACACAACTGAATTAAAATACAGAAGCAAACATACAAATAAGTATAACAAAGACGTCAACAAAACACATTTTTGTAGTTGATAGTACAGTAAAGTAAAACATGACAAATATGCCTTCCCGATAAAGTACAAATTATAGTAAAAAAGTAAACACAAGGGTATACAAAATAAATCTCTTTAAAAGCCTCATTGGTTCGAATCGCCGCTACGGACAAAAAGAAATCCAAAGCCAAAAAAAAAAAACAGGGTATAAAATTTATATTTTCAAAATTAAATCGTCGCGTTTGTCTCATTAGTAAACATGTTTAGAAATGAAACGGTCATTTTGATCTGACTAGTTCTCAACAGACTGCAAATTAATGGATTCATGGTCAGTTTATCAGTCCTGAAGCAGGCTGCAGTAAATTCAGTACTGTTAAAACAAATCGCTTGTAGTCAATTAAGATCTGTTCAGTCTATGTTCAGATTTTTCAGTCTATGTTCAGACTTTTCAGTAGCTGTTATTTACATGTACAAAATAAACCTCAACATACTGAATTGTCTTAAAAGGTAATAAACAGTACTGGATTGACTGCATGACAGATGTCTGAACAGGACAAGAATATATCTAAAAAGAACGTATTTTTTTTAAAAACCACAGTGACCGTTTTAGGCTAAAACTTATTAACTAGTGTCATAGACTCTTGTACTCACCGAAGTTATCTCTTGAGTCTATATGTGACTGATGAGTGCATTTATAATATAAGTTAATTTCTGTTGACAACGGATTCTTGAAAAAAAGAACACATTCTAGCGTTAACTTAGTTTGTAATGTTATAAATTGTATCCCAGTTTATTGACAATTAGGTCATCTTGATATACCGGTTCCTGATTGATTTTAGTCTGGCAAACGTTACTCATTTCGCTTTTGTTTAGTGTATATATTGTACAGATTTTTTTCGTTTTTCTGTTGTCCCGATGTTTCCAAATCATTTTTATTATATTACAGTCTATTTTTTTTTAAATTTTAGGCTTCCATCGTAAAACAAATGAACACATTCCATAATGAGTAACAAATATTTACATGATAAAAGTTTTTATCAGCACCTTTCATTGATTTACACAGATTATAATGTTAATATGAAAAAAAGTAACTTACCAGTAATATTTATTCGCAGTATTCCTATGGTATCATCAAACTCCACAAACAAAAACCTTTTGATATTGCGTTGTTTAGTTTGCATTAAAGATTCAACGAAATTACGTATTCATTCAATTTCTAAGAAATTCAATATAAAAAAACAACATTTTCTTCCTTATTTAGTAAAATACCGTTTTAGGACAATTGAAAAAGAGGTCTTTGTTACCACTAACTATAAAAACCAATTTTTTTATACAAGATTTAAATAGCTTTTAATAAATTTCTATTTTGATAAAATGGCGAAAGGATTAAACTTAACTGCTTAATTTGGGTTTTAAACTTTAAATAAAGAAAAATATGATGTATATATTTAACAAGCGGGAATCACCATTACAGTGACAGGTGCAAATCGACCTATGTATGTAGGTTAGTTCACTTTTAAAAACATTTCCACTGAATTTCGGTGATTGCATCAAAATATAAACCTGACGTCATGTTCCAAACTATGCAACATCTGATTGGTTAGATAGATTCATCGACGCCAAGTTTTGGCTAAGACATTATGTCATACTTCGTGATCAACAGCTGTTTGGGTACCTTGTGATGATTAAACTGAAAAAAAATACATTGAAAAGATGGATATTTCATATAATTTGAGGTAAGTTTGTTTCAATTTTCATAACCTTTTACTGCCGAGGTCTGTCTATTTTCATTTAATTGAAGGTTGAGTAGCCATGTACATAAAACTGCACATTTCTATTAAAAAGGGTGGATGGCTAATCGTTACACACGTTGCTGGTTTCATAAAAAAAGGATAGTTTATAGAGAAAAAATCGAATTTGATATTTTAGGCAAGTCGAAATTACTATACTCTTTTAAACAATCATAACTTATTGACCCATGACTGAGAATGAACAAATGCTGCCAGACTGCCTGTCATGATGATTTACTAATGAACGATACATTTCAGTGTCATTTGAACAAAACCCTGAAAATTACTCTAAATGCATATGTGTCAAATAACCTCTGTTTGTTTATAATTCATTAAATTTATAATCATATTAAACAAGAGGCTCTAAAGAGCCTGTGTGGCTCACCCTGGTCTATGTACATATTCAACAAAGGACACTCTCCAACAATATAGACGAGAATAGAATTCATGACAAAAATCTCTGTTGTGTTGATCTTGTATTTCTGATCATTTAGTCTGTTTAGTTTCTCTCTATCTTCTTTAGTTTTTGCTAAAAACACAAAAGAGGGCAAAACAAAAAAATCCTCATTTAAGGGCAATCACTCCTAAAAAGAGTGATAGTCTACTAACTATATCTGCAAAATTTGACTTGTTAGTAGATGTTAACTTGCTGATAATATTTGTCTATTTATCTATTAAAATTTTAATCTTATAAGGCAAAATGCAAAAAAATGGTGAAAATCGTCATTAATGGGCAATAGCTCCAATAAGGAGTCGTCGGACAATCATTCATAGTGGTTTTCAAGATATCAAACAAAACTAGCACTTTACCCATATGTTCCAATTTTAACCACGTCGTAAATGTTACGGACGCCATCACGAGTTGGTTGACCGTTATAGAATATCAGTTTCACAGCTGATGGCAGATAGGTTCCAACTGTCGTAATTCCAATCCTGTCCCCTTTTTCCCCGAATATGACCTACCGAATTAGCCTTATGAGCGGGTTTTTACTAACATGAGCAACCTGACGTGTGTCACAGGTGGAGGAGGATGTCACAGGTGGATACCCTGATGATGATTGTGGCCAAGTTTGGTTAAATGTGGCCCAGTAGTTTCAGAGGAGAAGATTTTTGTAAAATTTAACGGACGACGGACGCCAAGTGACGAGAAAAGCTCACTTGGCCCATTGGACCCAATGAGATAACAATTTGACATTTAAGGGCAATAACTCCTGAGGGTTTTGATGTTAATGGACAGCAGGTAGATATCGACATTCTGCTCCTGTCAGATTTTCTCTATTCATAGTGGTTTTCAAAATAGTAGACAAAACTTGCATTTTATCCCTATGTTGTATTTTTAGCCATGGCGTCGTAATAACAATCCTGTCCCCTTTTCCCCGATTATGACCTACCGAATTAGACTTATTAGCGGGTTTTAACTAACATGAGCAACCTTACGTGTGTCACAGGTGGGGACCAGGATGTCACAGGTGGATACCTTGATGATGATTGTGGCCAAGTTTGGGTAAATGTGGCCCAGTAGTTTCAGAGGAGAAGATTTTTGTAAAAGTTAACGGACGACAGACGCCAAGTGATGATAAAGGCTCATTTAGCTCATTAGGCTAGATGAGCTAAAAGTTTGACATTTAAGGGCAAACAATCCTAAAGGTTTTGATGTTAATGGATAGCAGGTAGGTCTCGACATTCTGCTCCTGTCAGATTTTCTCTATTCATAGTGGTTTTCAAGATAAAACAAAACTAGCATTTTACCCCTATGTTCCAATTTTAACCACGTCGGCCATGTTGGTTGGCAAGCAGGGTCATCGGACACATTTTAAAAACTAAATACCTTTATGATGTTTGTGGCCATATTTGGTTAAATTTAGTTTAGTAGTTTTAGACATTTTTGTTAACAACGACGGATACCAAGTGATGTGAAAAGCTCTCTTGGCCATAAGACCAGGTGAGCTAAAATTAACGAGTAAGACATTAAACTAAAACATGCAACACTTGTATTAGCCATTCTATATTATTCTCGTATGGGGTCCAATTGGTCTCTCCCTCTTCTGTTTATTGCTTGAACAAGCTAGGGATATATCAAACTTTTTACCTGGTCTTGAGAAAACTTGAAGATAATAAGTCAACTTTGGTTTATGCATCGATGGTCCTTAGGGAACTACCTGTGACCAAAGGGACATATTGAGTGGTAGTGCCGTGTACTTACTTGTAATCATCGAGTTATCCTGACTTCTCAATTGTTCACGAGAAATTTATATTGCATTCTTGATATATGATGTAGTTATATTTTACATTGTGGGTTGACCATAGGATTTTCAAAAGCGTTCAAATAAAAACTATACAAATAATTAAGGGTAACACCATTCATATGAAACTCCTTCCAATGTTATAGATTGAGGTTAAGGTTAAAATAATACACCATAATACATACATGTATGAGGGTAAACACGGGAAATTCGCTTCAACTATAAATAGATAAGACACGAACTAAAAAAATGAATAAACGGACCATAGATGATGAAGTATAATATAGTTACATGTGTATCTTTGTTTCAGAGTTCGACGACATACAGTTGATGAAATAAATCATCCACTGGTTCACACTTCTGTGATGGGAAATAGGATACAGTGAGAAAATAGTAGGAGTTTTGTCAGGATACAGAGAGAAAATGGTATAAGTTTATAATCATAATATATATGTATCCTATTGGGAATAACAAATGAACTGAACTGCCTGATTAGTCGTAAAATAAATGTCGATACAGCTCATTTTATAGAATAAAAAAGCATAAACTCTATATTTGAACAAATACAGAATTTCAAATTAAAAAAAAAATACATCACAAGACATATGGAATCCAAAACTTAAGAAGACAGAAATACACCCAATATACACATAAAAGGACACATTTAAAATCCACAACACTGAACAGAACGCTGTGGGCATTTACATCAAGTCCTTCAGAAGAGTAAGCATATCCTGCACTAAATGAGACGCCCGTAAATTTGTACAGCCGTCGAAGTGTCAAATCCGATAGAATTTGAAATCATGTTAGAAATTTATGTATATTAGGTCTTTGTACCTAGCCATACCTTTACGTTATACTACAGTCTTATTTAAATCAAGTTAGAGAACATGACAAACCTTGGAGTTACAAAAGAGAAAATTGCTAAGATTCCAGATGAGATCCTGATATGCATAAATCACCCATCGGGTAATTCTAAACTCGGATACATGTGTCAAAATAGATATGTAATTGGTAAACTTTAAATTCATCATGATTTAAAAAAATATACAGAATCAATAAATTGTTCTTTTTATATTCATATCATAAAAAGTTCAGATGTATTTGTATTGATAAGGATACCTAAAGGAGAATATCCATTTTTTTTATTACAAGTAACGTTTTATCACAAAAAAAAAAAACGTTGCCCTACAATATGAAGGTGTAAAATAACAAAAATACCGAACTCCGATGAAATTCAAAACGGGAAGTCCATAATCAAATCGCAAAATCAAAAGCTCAAACACATCAAACGAATGGATAACAACTGTCATATTCCTGACTTGGTACAGGCATTTTCTTATGTAGAAAATGTTGGATTAAACCTGGTTTTATAGCTAGCTAAACCTCTCAGTTGTATGACAGTCGCATAAAATTCCATTATATTGACGACGATGTGTGAACAAAACAAACAGACATAATAGGTAAAAATGTCAAAAATAGGGATACAGCAGTCAACATTGTGTTATAATCTTAATCACTATCAAAACAAAAAATATGTCAACAAAGAAACACAAAAAAGCATATAGGCAAGGCACATAAGCATAATTGAAAGACAAGAATACAAAAATTTACCATATCACAATAACACAATGACGGGATGTATAAGTACCGAGCCACGTCAAATGGATATTACCAAAAATAGACTAAGCAGTAAAAGTAATATTCACAAAGACAAATAAAAGAATACTATAACACGTTATTAAGATGAAAAACAACGTCAGTACCTAGAATCTATACTTCAAGACCATCGTGTATTATTTGTGAAGTTGATACGGAATATTTATCAACAAGGTCTTGGTATCTTCCGCTGAATTTTTTTAGAAAAAGGACGAGACGTTCTTTGACATACCCCTGGTTCATCAACTTTCTGCTCAGACACTGGTGACGTTGATTGAGGGCACTTTGATTGTGATCAATGATTGGAGAAACGATAACTGCAGCTGCAAGGTTAAAAACCACTCTTTTAGACAATTCCGTCATAATCATGAACATGATGTATATCTTATCAATAGATTTAAAATTCCTTTCAACCAAAACTTTATTTCCTGAAATGCCGACTTTTCACTGATATTTGCTTCCGATTTATTTCAGAAAAGGCTTCATACAGACGTTTCCCAGTTACTTAGCAATTAATCTACACGAGTCGCGCAGAAAATGGATGAAATGCAAATATGCATAGATCACCAATTTTAGATTCAGGAATTAAAAAGTTCCCGATTTCATTTTAATCATTGTTTCTTATATTCTTATCAAGGCCTATAATTATTCGATATTTGTATAAGCTACATTCATGTTGGAGAAAACTTTTCCTGTGACAACCACTATATATGAACGATTTTACACATATCAAATCGGTTGAAGTTTTATTTTTATTCATTTCTTTTATCAAGGATGCAGCTATTGTTTTATTGTTTTTATTTTACGGAGATGTTTAATTATGATCATGGGAGACACCTTCCAAAGGTACAGTTACTCCGAGTATGAATCATGCTATTAACATGATTAAGTAACAATAATAATTGTAGACATAAGATAAAACTATCGTTTTAATTACATTCTAGTATGACGCGTTGAGTTCATACTTGTGGTAAAAAAGACAATATTCAATTTCAGCTGATCGCCAATGTCATTATTTGTTTCAGGTTGTTTCAATTACCCATGTCGCAGACATTTGAAAATAAACACAGAAATATTAAAAAAAAACAATGGTAGGAATTCGTTGTAATCAGGATCTTATAATACAAATCTGATTTATAAAATATGTTTTGCAATTCCTTTACGACTACTTGTTGGCTAATACCGTCGGTTGCTCACTTTCAAAGAGCAACATTCGTAAAAATCGAGGGGGAAAGTTTTGAAATGGTTAACTACTAGTATGACAAACCTTTTGCTAAAATTCTCATATCCTGTTATTGAAAAATTGTTAACACATTTCCTTATTCAATATTCTACGCTTTTAACGTTAATATTTGTATCGATTCAATTATAGGAACAGCAAATATCTGTCTGGAACTAAAGAGAAGCATCTTATTAAAAGTTACCACTTATACTAGACATGACTGCGTATTTGTACATCCCGCATACGCAAAACTCACACCCTAATGCGGTATACATGTAGGCTATCACCTCCAGAACCGGGGAGTCTAGTGATTACCAAATTTTAATACTCCAGTCAAGTCTTGTATCATTTCACTATGTTTCAAAACTAGGGTTATAACTGGGATTTTGTGTATTTTTAGCATTCAAATAGCGTGTATCCTTCGATCAGAAGACAAGAAAAAATTGTAAATAAATACAATAATTAGGTTCTGCAAGTCAGAGATCGGCCGGAATAAAGTGACAACTGAAAAATTATTGTATGTTTTATGGGGACATAAATTTGCCCAGTAACTGGATACGGACTGCTCACAGAGTTGTTAATAAAAGAACATAGGACTCGCCCTGCATAAGGTATTTTTGGTATCTTTATCTTCTCTTTTACATTAGCAAGGAGTTTCAAATTCAAGGAATAACAATATTCATATACCCCAATCAACCCTCGATATAAATAGAGATGAAAGATCGTGCTCTGAGATTTGACCAAACAAAGTTAATTAGAAAATTGAGGTAATGGGAAAGAGAACAACAGTTTCAGCAAAGAATGAAAACACTGAAAAAACTATTTCATGTTATGTAGACATTTCAACAATAAATTCAAAATATCTTCTTTATTACTATTAATAAATAACTCAGTTTATAATTGATACGAATGTCCAACAATTACACAAACCGTTGCACCTCCATTATCCCTTTTTAAATTAATAGTTTTAAATTGTTTAAATTTGTATTTCAGTAAATTAGGTACGTTCAACATTTGTTCGTAAGTGTGAAGAGAAATTATAAAGAATATAATACAAATATAAAAAAAAAACTGTTTGGTTAGCAAGGCTCAAGCCACCATTTTTATTATTATTTTTCAAATCACGAAAATTCTGTATCAGGAATACACCTAGAACAGCCATAAATCAGCTAGAGCCTAAAAGATAAATGAACATGTTCAAGTTATGCATCAGTGACAAGAACAAAATATAACGTCCTTGGTGATTAACCAGACCGTACCGGAAATAGACAACGAGGTAAAACAATAATTTTTACATCACGAACACTGGAAATTGTAGCAAGTTATCCATTTCTCTGTTTTTTAAGTGATGAATTTGCGTATCATAGTTTAATGTGTTCAGACTGTCTACAAGCAGAAGGACAGCATGGGCGGATTCAGGCGGGGATGTGGCGGGCGTGCGCTCCCCTAAAATTTGCAAAGCCTGGGTTATCCTCAGCTTAATAAAGTATCTGAAGAGACGACGAAAATTAATGTCGTCGCATTCCATCCGTTTTAACATTCAAAGTATATAAAACAGTAAGTTTAACATAATCAACGTGATTACTAATCAACTGACCTACGGTTTATTCAAGTTCTATAAATATACTTCAAAGGAAGGTGTCAAACGCTGCGTTTGATGACAAATATTATAGGCTTTTAGCAGTTAAAGTAAAAATAATTGTTTCATTGTAGCTGCGGTTTTAATAAACAATTTTTTTATAATCAAAGTTCCGAAACATCCCTCATTCACTTTCCCACGAAGTAGGTGAATTTGCCCTACCCGCGGTTGGATTGATTATTTCATCATCGCACGGCCAAGAAAACAGTCCAGGTTAGATTCTTTCTTAGTGAAAGATAGACATACTGGTTCAAGCGAAAGGTTAGTTTATTAATTTGTTTCATTATTTAATATCTCTGTGTCTATATATATTTCTCACTTGCAACCTAAAAAATTTGCCGAAGTATGCATAAACTTTCAAGGCCCCCGTATTACATGGGATCCAAAGAAAATAAACATAACTTCGTAAAAGCATCTCATTCTGATTTTAGTGGTTTACGGCGAAAATAGAATATATTAAGTCGCCACGACATCCGAAAATCAATAAAATTAAAAACAGGTATTATGAAAAGACAATTTAAAATCGCTGGTAAAAGTAGAAATTTTCGTTTGCAAATACTAATTCTGGTCAGGTGAGCTATTGTCATCTGTCTCGTCTCACTTTGCGTCCGTCGGTCCGCCCATCTATCTGTCAACTCTTCACATTTCCATCGTCTTAACCAAGTAGGGCAGGGGCTGGTGTTATTGAGTGTTAAAGTAATTCTTAAGTTAACCGGTTTCATTTCACATCGTTGAAACCATGTACAGTTGGCTTAGACACATTTCCGATGTGCAAAACAAGGGTTAATTATTTTTTGTGGTGTTCCTGTATCTCTTTATGTCACAACTACCAGCACCGTGTCTTTCAAGGTTTAGTTTAGACATTACCTGATATTACTATATAGATAAGTTTACAACAAGTGCTGGTGTCTTGATTTTAGATTGGTATGCAAAGGAACACAGAATCAAGGTATGCTAGTAGATAATGGAAGACAATGCGTTTGTGTCGCCCTTTGTTTCATGGCATCTGTCACCCACGAACCATCTACTCCATCTTACGTTGACCATATTTTTCAGCTTGATACATATTTTTACCTCTCAATATGCACGCATCGTGGGTACATGCTTATAAATGAAATATCAAGTACCGTTGATATAGCGGGAAGAAGTTGACACTTCCATGTTATAGAGTCGAGAGGCGGATCAACAGACCATGCAGTAGACGACTTAGATGCCTTGTGTTTTAGTATCAGAGGACCACTTAAGCGCTGCTATGAAAAATCCGATATGTGTTTTATGACAGTTGGAAACTTTCCAAATTGTACTATTGGTACAAAAAAGACAGATGATCAGATGTACTTGGTAATGGACTCGCATAGCAGAGAAGAATCTGGAAAATCGGTCCCAGGTGGGACAGCTGTTGTACTTAGATTTCGTTCCTTAGATTAGCTTGTTACTTATATCAGAGAAATATGTGATTCGCTGTATTTGTTAGATATGCCATTCGAGACAACTTCTATAGCATGTATTCCACTAGATACTGTACACTCACCGAATGCACCATATGGCGACGATCAAGAGCATTCGATCGAAGCTGAAGTAGATTCACAAGTGAATGAACAAAATGCAGCAACAAGCAGTGAACAAAGTACACCTGTGACTCAATACCTGCAAAATAAAAATGAACATTGTGACCATGAAGAGAACGACAACGTTCCTATTGATAATATAAATACACAAACTCAGTAGAGTAGTGAGGCTGCTGTTTGAGGTGATCTACATGACATGATGCTCCAGATGTCAAAGAGAATCACATATTTCCTTCAAGTTCCCGTCCAAAAATAACGCGGATAAAAGAAAGAAGTCTGGAAATTTTAAAAGATTATGTGTGCGAGAATGGTTCTCCGTTTTCACTTTATATCATATTCCGTTTCTCAAGATGGTCTTTATTGTTTGCCCTGTCGTTTGTTTCCGGATTCACCGCATCGACGACCCATCAAATTGATACAAGAACCCTACAGCGACTAAACCACACAAAAGAAGATTTGAAAATGCATGCTACAACACACTATCATCAGTCATCGATGACAAAACTTTAGGCTTTTCGTACTACACAACGTGAGCCTTAATTAAGAATTGATGCAACACTTACTTCTGGAAACCAAGCAATTATTGAGCGAAACCGTCAGATACTCATGTCCATAATTAAGTCATAGGTATTCTGCGATCGACAAGGTATTGCCTTGCGTGGCCACAGGGATGATAATACTGATAAGGGAAGCAGTACCAACAAAGGAAATTTCAAAGAATTGCTAAATTTCAGAGTCGACGTTGGTGATTCCATTCTAGAGAAACATTTTAACTCGTGTAAGAAAAACGCTACCTAAACTTCCAAAACAACTTACTGTTGTGTTTAAGGGATTACATACAGAACAAGATTGTCAGCGAAGTTATAGCACAAGCTATTGGCCCGTATTATGGAATACAATGTGACGAAGTAACATACTCCAGTAATTGGGAGCAGCTGGGTCTTATCATCCGTTATACTGTCGATGGGCATCCAAAGGAGCGCTTATTAGAATTGATCATGTTTATATATATATACATATATGAAGTAGAGATTGAAAGCAAACTTATAGGGTCTCTTAGTAATGCTGGATTAGATACTCAACTTTGCAGGTCCCAACTATGGACGGCGCCGGCAACATGTCGGGAAATATAATGGTAGTGCTGCCAAGTTCCGTGAACACTCTTCAAAGGCAGTTCACATG